CTTAACACCATGAGATATGGCCTCAAATAGTGACATAATAAATTATAGACGTTAGCGTAGCCAGAACTGACTATTGATTTTTCGACAGTGAGTCGAGTGACAAATCAAATTGAATCATTCGCTATATTTACAGTGATTTAATGAGCGACGATATAAACAGGAGTTGACTCGACAATAACTAATGTAATTTCTTTGCACTATTCTAAGTATTCTTGTTGATTATTTTCTTTCTTTGCAATCTTGAGTTAGACCATTTAAAATTTACGAAAACTTACTGAAACTTGCAGAAATTACTGAAACTTACTGAAACTTGCAGATTCAGCCCATTATTAAATTTTTTTACTTGTTTTATCACAAAGACACCCCAACTGCAAATCAACAGAAAATCGCTTCAGTTTTCTTACTATTTAAATTTCAACTTGTGTCTTAGTAGTCAGACGCCAACGGGTAACTTGAAACGTATAAATTGTCAACTGTCGACTTGGACAGAATTTGATCCACTCCAAGAAAATAGTTTTCGTTTTGCTACAAATTTATATTTATTCAGTGCCGCGTTAATAACCAACTGGCCCATTTGGCCCGTGCTCAGAGACTCAGAGTCCCAAAAATTTATATTTATACAGTGAGATAAATTTGTAAAACAGAAATACAATAGAAAAACAAATGCTGCTTAGATAAATATAATCAGTCATAGATAAATATAATCACAACCGCCGGGAATATATGAAACAAGAATAAAATCCGCTAGCGTAAAACAATGATACTATCGCATTTCTTAAATCTTTATTTGCGTGAAATATGGGATTTACTGGGATAGGATACCGTTTAAGATAAACATGTGTTATAATGATATTTATGTACAAACGTGACTATCTTTGCGATACGAATTATTGTGTATAAACTTGTGAAGCTAAATTTTCAATTTATAGGTCGTCAAATAAAACATGTAGGTCTTCGCGGTCATCAAAATAAACATGAATTCTTTCTTCCGCCTGACGGTCTGAGCCTGGTCTGAGCAAACAAATTATGCGCTCTTTCAAGATCCTCATTTAGTTCTCAAGAGCACCACATGTTTAAAGTATCCGTCAAATGGAATCATCCAAAAAGTTGGTATAGTATGGGGCCTATGGGCTCCCGTAATTTCGACTGAAAGATTGTGTTTTGTGTCCAACAGACATACGCATGTTGTGGTCGTGGTGACTGGTGAATAAACCTTTCATGCTATTGAATCAAATAATAAAATGACTGTGGTTATAGTATGGATAATTTATCCAACGATACAAAAGCCAACAGGTTAGACTTGATTATAAGATATACAAGCTCGGAGCAAGTTTAAGCTGGATTGACATGTTGAAATGGCAGCCATAAAGGTATCATATTTTGTAATATTCACTCAATGATGATATGTATTTGTAATATTTGTTCATTTCACTAAAGCGATATGATATTTGGCATTTGATAATATTATTTCACTATAGACAGTGTTATATTTTGGCGCTTTGTCTCATGTCAGCTTTAATTTGAGGTCAGTACCTGCAAAATATGAATTTAATTTCATCAAAATGAAATACTTTGATATATTTAACTTACTAATACTGAACGCTTTATTATCAAATACATAGTGTCTGCCAATTTCTTTGGGACTTTGTAGTTCCCATACGCAACATTCTTCTAGAAACTCAGGACCATGGCAGGCTTATTATCCAACTAATTTACATATTTGAGGCTTGCTGCATTTTGGTTAGTTTGTACGCAGTTGTCTGTAGTTTTAACGAGTTTATTAAAGGAAAATATAGAGGGGATAGTAAGTAATAACCGTTACTTCTCATAAGTTTTCTATCATGCTATATTGTCCCACTTTTTAAATGTAAACTAATACCGAACCAAAAGTAAAATTTTCAATGAAAATTGCCTAGCTTCAAAACGTCGACTTGAAACTGCATAACTTGCATTCTTTTGCTGATTTGCGAGCAAGATAGGAAAACCAGATTTTAGGAGATTGGTAATGTGATAGTGACTGTTCTCGAAATATTCCATGTTCAGTTTTTAATTTCAACAAAAAAATTAACCGCAATGTTTCGTATAGAAATTACCAACGTTGTTGGCAGTAAAATTAAAATAAGGTAATATAGTATTGAGCTTTAAGTGCAAATATAGATAAACATACACCAGTGAGTATTTTAAAACTGCAAAATAGCGGATGTATGCATTTGAAATGTCTCAAAGAATGCTACTATGCTGAAACTGTGAAACATTCATATGTATTTGAATGTTGCCGCTATATCATTGCTCTATATTAAGATAATTGTTTGACTATATTCTTAACAAAATGCGTTTTCTTCCAAAGTCAATTTATTTAAAGATTGCTACTTCACCCCCTTGTCATGTGTATAATTTAAGTTTTATGTTTTTCATATAGCTCAAACCCTATAAATATTGGACTCGAGAACACTCTCATTTTTCGATCGACCAAAATGATGTATAATCACACTTAATCACGATGGTAGAATTATAGTGTGAACAATTTTTCCATTTCTACAGTCATAATATCAAACGTAGCAACGTCACGACTACGTGCAATCACTTGCCGTTGATCAGTAAAGAATGGAAACACACATAACGAATTTGAAATCCAGTTTTCTTCTCTTCACCTGCGCATTTTTTCTAATCTGTGGTATAGATGGATCTGTTGTTTTTCCAACTGCTTGGTTCTACATTCAGAGTATGGGCGGATCAAAAAATTTTTATGGTATGGTACTAGCTGGACAGTCATTGGGATATGTCGTTTTCACACCACTCGTTGCCAAACTTTACGACAAAACAAGAAGGGGGAAACTTATTCTTCTAATTTGCATGATAGTGAAGCTGCTATCGACTGTCCTGTATGCCATGTCCATTTCAATATATTTTCCTTTAATTGGATTTTTCTTGAATGGTGCAGCTAACTCGGCATATACTGTTTTATATGGTGCTGCAGTTCGCTATACTTCTTATGAAAATCGATCAAAGTTGTTCATTGTCGTTAATTCCGCATTTAGCCTGGGCTGTACATGCGGTCCTGTGTTTGGAAGTGTGGTCACTTTCAATGCTAAACTATTTGGCCTGGATATCAGCGATGGTAACTCTCCAGTAATTGTGTTGGCCTTTATTTGGTGTGTAATGATTGGCTTTATGGTGATCATATCATCAGAATTTGGTAAGGATGAAATTTCTTTCTCAGACGAGGAAAGAGAGATGCTAACAGAAAAAGACCTTAGTGAAAAGTTGGAAGGCAATAAAGAGTCTTCGTCTCTTTTGTGCTCAATATTCATAATATTTACGATTTTTTCAACCTCCTCGTAACAGCGACAGTGTCTGGTATGACATCCTTGTTAACAATGGAACTATTTCATCTAAAACTGGTACATGTCAAGCTTTTGTTTGCAGTAGGAATGGTGTCCATGCTTCTAATGGATCTGCTGTCGTATTTAGCGGTTAATTGTTGCAAAGAACGCACATTATTAGTGTTCACTGTTATCATTCAGTTACCCGCTATTGTATTTATGTGTACTTACGCATTGCTTTGGCAAAATGCCCCCTCCATGATGAGCTGCACTCTCGTCATATTCGTTTCATCCGGGCTACCAGTTACAACATATTCATTTGCAGGCTCCCTGCTCTCTAAGATAACGCCATTACGACATGCAAGTTTCATTCAAAGTTTGGCAATGACAGGTTACTGTCTTGCTGCGTTATTTGGACGAGCGATGTCCGGTCGCGTTTTTTCTCAACAACTCCTGATAATATATAGTTCATGTCTCATGACAATTTCTATATTTGATATTTTATGGTGGGCATATTTATTTAAACGTTTGCCCAGGTAACATAGAATTTTTTTACTGACCCTTGTATTAACTGAACAAAAAGAAATGCTTGGGACGTATAATGAAAACGATATTTTGCAAGAATTTCAATGAAAAATCGACGTACGGTATGATGTTATTAACTCATTGATGTTTTGAGCAAGCCAGGTAAATTTTTGATGAGGGCCAGCTAATTACTACAAAAGTCAGTAAGATGTCTTTGGCGACTTTGTTCAGAGTATCGTTCATTCAATATACACCATGCAACACACTAAATTTGTTACTATTAAATTAGTTTTTAGCTATAACAAAATGCTGTTTTGTTTCTAAAGTTAGGTAAATGTGATGTGAAGATCACGTGACTGAGGTTTATACGGTAACTGATAAAAATATACGTCTCTTATGAAATCAACGTCTGGTATCAAACGTTCCCTTCCTGGAGTGTGTGTTTGTATTAGACGCCTCTTTCTAATAGAAATGAAATATCTTTATTGCGTATCTATTCAAGCACTCCTCTAGAACTGCTACAATTTATTAAATGATCTCCATATTTTTCGAAGCGTTAAATTTTGTAAAAGTTCACAAGTAGCAGCCAATGAAAAGTTATTTCGTTTGCAAAATTGCCAAACGAAAAACGTGCAAAAAGTAAATATGCTGACAGACTTTTGTCTAAGATCTCGTCCAAGATTAAGGCAAATAAACCAAGATAGTTGAAAAGGGAATGTGATTTTCTCATTTATATAGTGCTAAAATAAAGCTATATCTCACTGATGCATGGTTCTTTATACGCTCAAATGTAAATGTTGTAAAGGTGTAGCTTAAATCGCTGCTGTGGGGTTGACTAATAGCAAGTATTTACGGTTTTAAGATAAATGCAGTTTTTCTGTAACTATATCTTTGACAAACTTAACAATCCAACAAAAGGTAAAGACCTAAGGCAATCTTCATAAACGATACCATTTAACTGTTTAAAATGATTTCCATAGCAATTGGCAAATGTCGACATGGAAGAAAGTTGCTCCTCCAGAAAGTTTTTTAATTGTCTTCCTTTATTATAGAGCAGGTTAATTTACGTCAAATAAAGAATCAATAAAGGAATTCATGCTGAAATTTCCTATCTGCGTCATATAGACAATCCTTTTCATCCAAATAAACACGTTTTAAAGCAATCAACATGGTCTTCCATTTTATTGCTATAATATCCCCACGAAAGCTTTGACCAAATTTTAGCTTTTCCGTCAGAGACTGACATTTAGAAAAAATGGATATTTTTGAACGTTTTTGTTGGCTTTTCGAAATGGTCAAGACAAACGTAAAACAAAAATTCTGTCTCAACTTCTGAATACATAATTACGATTGAAATATTTCAAACATTTCCAACGTTATTTAATATATTTTTATAAATAACATCGTGTTCTTAAATATATTATTTCAGGTTTTTTTTTTGTGCTTCTTGGAAGTTTCCAAAACCATAAAAAAGGCCAGAGATTAAAGGTGAATGCATTTTTCTTTCTAATCGGACTCTTGTAGTGATGATGTTCAAAGTAATTAAAATTGTTTTACTGCAGGACATTTAACAATTGTACACAAGTGAATAAAACATACTCGTTCATTCTTAGTGTAAACAACGGGTGTTGCTTCGTTGACACTTAACTACGCTCAACATGGATAACCAAAATTTTGATTTCAAAAGGACTAGTTTTAGGTTGTAACCATACATTAAATATTCTACTGATACCTGGTCACCCTTTGTCGCATCCCCCGGAAAAAACGTTCAAGCTGTAAGACTTCCGCAATTCTCAAGTATTCATCATGACCCTTTTCCATGTTTCATTGTGACTTGCTGACGTTTTGCAGTAAGAGCTCTTTTCCACTTTCAAGGGAATGTCTTTACCGCTTAGATTAAGTTTGTTAATTAATTCCGGTATACCATCAACAAATTCACGATCATCGTGTTTTTTTAGCTTTTGATGATAACAAGCCATGCAAAATCCTGTCATAAATGCATCAAAACCAGCTCGATGATTTCCCGAAGCACTATTGATTGGTTGGTTATTGGTATGTAAATTTGACAACGGTGATTTTGATGGTGATTCTGGAAACTCTTCTTCAAAAATGCCGTTTGTACCATCTTCATTACTTCTGGTTTTGTCTTCAGGCAATTCCTGGAATGTTTTCTTGTCTTTTTCTTTTCGTTTTCGTTTGCGCTTTTTCTTTTTTGATTTCTTTTCTTCTTCATAATTTAAAATAACGTCGATATCGTGAGACATTTTACATTGCATTCCTTTGGAGCAATAACCATGAGCCTTGAAAAAAATAAGAAAGTAACAACTTCATAATCAGAGCAGAATATACACTTATGTTAACAAAAATTCAACTTAAAAGAACAGATTAAATTCTCGATGCTTTTCTAACACCGTGACGCTTATTTTGGAAAAGCTTCTCTGAATGGTGTGTTTTGTATGGTTCTCTACGTTATTAAAAGTTATTACACATGTCTCATCATGTCTTACATGCATGTATACTAACTACGACAAAACTGTAAAACCGACATGATTAGTAAAATGTAAATTGGGATATCATGCGAATTTTTATTTTTCGTATTTGTTCTCGCAATGCATTGGCCTTACAAAAGATTCTCGTAAAGAATGAAAAATTTATTTAAGAAATAAAAGATGTTTACTGTGTTTGCACGGGTTTATGCAACCTCGGAGAGCTTTGGGAGAACTCGAGAGCAGATTAGTGCAAGCCCTAGACCGAAGGTCGAGTGTTGCACATGCTTGAGAGTTCTCACAAACGTCTCCGAGGATTGCATAAGCCAGTGCAAACACGAAAAACATCTTTTATTTCTTTTATAAAATAACAATAATGCGAAAAAGACAAACATTTTAATTTTTCCTCTAAAATGTATTCATGATCGATTTGCAAATTCTCTTTGATCGGTTGATTGTTTTAATTGATTTGATTGGTTGAGCTCAGACGTGTTTTGAACAGGCTAATGCAAACACAGTTCTAGACCAATCAGCGCACGCGTTTCATTGAGTTTATTTTACAAAAGCTTAATGAAGGATCTATCATGCAGCAGTATATAACGCATCGTATATGTACATAGATCGTTGAAATATCTGTTCAGACTGTATAGTTGTTCAAAAGGTTGTCCACCTTTTGAAAAGTTACAAGGTAAACATTGAATACTACTGGTTTAACACCACTAAACAACCTGGGCCTGTCACACGATGCATTAATCGTGCCATTCAGTTTTAAATTGTAAATTTTTGACCCTTTTCAGAATAACTTTTAAGAAAAATAGCGTCGAACTGGAGAATCAATAGGATAAAACATTAATAAAAAAAATACTAGACTCTTCGCAAAGAAAATATTCATGTATAACTACCTCTTTATATACTAGAAAAATCATACAGTGGAAGGCGCAATCCGCGTGTGGCTTAATTGGTATAGAGCTGCGAAAAAACAATTGAACAGAAATTATCACAACCCTGTTACACATTCTTAAATACACAAATAGGGCAACTCACAGCATAATGTTCACATGGAAATGTTGAGCCCGCAGTTATGGACGTTTTGTTTCTGATACTATTAAAGGAAACGTCAGCATTAGAAGGATATTCACAGCACTCGATTTTTATGTGAGATCTGTTATCAGCTTTCTTTTCCACGTTTTCTCGCCAACTACAAAAAAGAACCATTTTGGATTTTACTATATCAAGATAATATTTATATTGCATAAAGAAAGTAAAACTCAAATATGTTCGAGCGTTACAAAATTTGCTCAAATTGTTATTCAAAATGTAATTTCAAAACATGTGCATTAAATTTCGCATTAATTCGATATATAATAAAATAAAATAGAGACTTTGTCGTGGTGACAAATCTGAAAATAGTTCTAAAGGTCGCAAATACCATAGTGAATGGTAAAAGTAATATAATAAGTTGATAGTTCTTAAAAGAACTGTTTTAAGTAAAGAGCACTAACCCAATAGTTCTAAATTAAATGTTATGAAATTAAACGACACGATGCATTTTGGCAGACTACTCCTCAGGTTTCAACGTCTGCTAAATGAAAAGTTACAATCTACCAATATTTATAATGTCTATTCATAACATCTATTTTAGAACTATTGGGTAGGTGCTCTTTACTTAAAACAGTTCTTTTAAGAACTATCAACTTATTATATTACTTTTACCATTCACTAGGGTATTAGCGATTTTTAGAACTATTTCGATGTATGGAAATTTGCTTTCTAATTTTTTGGTCTAGTTTAGTGATATTTCCTGTGTTTCAGAGACTAATGCAGAACATACTAAGTTCTTAAGTTTTGGCTTGGGATTTCATTAATCTTCTGTCAAGTTTTACCAAATTTCTCGGTTTACATAAACAACAAAGAATGAGCAAATATAAAGATCATTTTTATTTCGCAATACGAAATGAGCTTACAACAGAAGGATTCTTCACAGTCGATTCTTTAGAAAAGTAAATTTGTTGTTCTATACATTTGTTGTCTCGCCCCAGGCCTCCATCCACACCATGCACTAAAATGCAATTTCTTAATCTCTTTAGAATTCAATTTAGCACACAAAAAACATGAATTGCATAATTGGATACTAAAGCTGATCGAAGGCATCGTTAATAACAAATGGTACATAATTATGTTGCGTACCTTTTCTTGAAAATGTAATTAAGATATGTAGCGGAACATCCAATGACAAATTCCGCTATATACTTAGTATCCACCACTCCAGCAGAGAACATGATCGAGAGGTCAGCGAGGAATGTCAATAACGATGAAGGCAAATCAGAGTAGAAATTCTGATAGAGAAATACTAAATCAAGGAAACCATTGTGAACCACAATTGGTTTTTTGGACCTCAGCATTTCAAAGAACACATTTGACATCAATTTTGAATCTGTAGAGCTATCCTTAAGATCCTAAAAATAATTGAAATGTTGAACACTAACATCAGCGGGGTTAAGTTGTTCATTCTTGAACATGTCAAAATTGGTTCGTTCATCGCTTTAAATCACAACCGCATTATTAACTGTACATTACATTTATTCCAAGCTTAAATTATGATACAGATGAAATAATTAAAACTTTATAAGTACAAACATGAAATATTTCACATTCAATCAAACTATACGTAGATTGCATCGGACATTCAAGCAATTGTTCCATGCACTGCTATTGAAAAAATGCAGACAACAAAAAAGATGAAAGAATTTAAACCATATGGACTAAGTTACTACACCACCTTCCGACTTCTCCAACTCCATTAATTACTACACTTCATTGGAAATATTTTGCTACTAATTTTTGTTGCAATAAAAGCATTCATCAAACTCACAATCCACCCGTCACCCATTTCAAGTTACTTGATGGCTTAACAGCTCTTTACAGAAATTAAGTTGCTAATTATAAGGTGTATTGTCGAACAAACAAAACGCAGTGGAAACATTTCCCTAGAACATCACGCTGAAAATATTAAAACATTAATTTGGTCAGGACATTTACCTTTTTTTGTGGTAAAGAATATGAAATAGCTTTGGCGTAATGTGTGTTGAAATCAAAACCATGTTCCAAAAGAAACTTCAATGATCCTGGTTCAACAGTAAAACTGTCTTTTCGCAATAACATAATGTTATATGTTTGGACCAGGAAATCAGAATTCTTGTTATTTCCAGGGTTGTTTGACTCTTCTCCATGTTGTTGCAGACTAAACGACGAGATCCCAACAGACAGAATAGAACGAGTTTTGGCTATTTCGCAGAATGCTTTGTATCTTTCATTGGAGTCTCTGTAAAAACCACAAATGAAACACACGGCATCTATATACATATATTCAATGCTCGCAGAGGGTTTACTGAATCATACGAACAGATATGGGAGAAATCTGGCACTAGCATTTGAGGCCAATGGAATGAGTCTTGTTTTCCAAAAGTCTCAATGTTTCCAAAGACGATGTTGAGGAAACATTGCATGAGACTCAAGCGAAAACAAAACTCAATATTTCCAACGAGAGCGTGTATGTTTTATATAGGAGAAAAAATCATAGACTTCGACAGCTTTTCAATGAAATCCACGTCTTTCGGGGGAGATTCGTCTGACTAAATTTCGTTGCTTGAAAAACGCTATACAGTACGTAAGTGGGACCACAAAATTTCTTGGTCAACTTCAAGGTGTTTTCGAAATTTTTTTCTTTTAATAATCGCCTAAAAAGCTTGGGAAACGGTTTTAGTTTTCCGTTCCGTAGCTGTTTTATTTGTTATGACATTAAAATGCGCGAGCAACATTTTTCACTTTTTTCCATGGTGGGAAACATTGCATTTATTTTAAATCATGTGACCACAAAGGAACCAATCACATTTAACATACACAGCACCTTCATGACAATACTTTTTACAGCTCTATTCACAGTTTGTTATCCAACATTACAGCTTAGACAGATGTAGTCAAGCAATAAAATTTTTGAATAAAAACAAGTACTAAGTTTAAGTAGATTAGACATGCTGCCGCTGGCTATGTACATATCACATCAATTAAATATTTCAAAACCATAGCAGATATCCCACATTTGATTGGCACAAACATTTGATCGACACAACATAAGGTACTCTTACCCACAGAAAAATGAAGGATTAGAGTTCAAACCCATATACTTTAGGGCTACGTTGAAGTACTGGATTTTAAGTAAAAAAATGTAAATTTTATAATTTTATTTGAATTTAGTCAGTGGAAGAAAATGTTTTTAAAAGATGCAAATTTCTAGATTTGGTTATCGACTTTTGGTGGCAGTCAATTCAAATCCCAACAAGGTATTTATTGTATTTACAAACTAAATTTGCATACACTTGTAGTGACAGAATTAATTAAAATATTTTTAAGTGAACTTTTTCTTGCTTCATACAATTATTCCAAAATAGATTTATAACAAAATACTGAAAATCATCAATCCAACCAAACATATGACTACTAATGAAAATGAAAAACATGAAATTTGCACTGTTGCAATGGTTTATATCATCATTACGTACCTTGTCATTGTATCCTTTCTGTTGCCAATACCACTCATTTCCTGAAAATGAAAAATTTATATCATTGCTTTATTGTGAAATGTTGTGGTACTACGAATGTGCTACACAGGTGTTAAAAAGGTCTTTCTTCAACAGTATTGAGGAATATTGATAGACTAATGATTTGGTAGCGCAATCCATAAACTTTAGTGAATTGGGACACACAGGTCATGCAAAAAGCAACATAGCATTGGATTCTCGTTACCAGAGATCTTGGATGTGCAATTTTGAGAAAAATAGACGTTTAGGCATGCAATTTTTAAATCTTGGGTATGTAGTTTACAAAGCTGGAATATGGGCAGGGCTATAGCTAGAATGTTAATTTTGAGAAGGATGTACGTATATTCCTGTATTCAGTTGTACCTGACTCATTTCTTTAGAAAGCCCAATCACTTTCAAAGAAGTCAGTCAGAGACAACTGAGTTCATGAATACACATTCCCCCCCTCCTCAATTAACGTTCTAGCTATGGCCATGCAAAACATGGGTTGCCATCTACTCCAAATATATATATTTAAAAGACTGGACCTATTTGGATAAACTTAAATTCGGTTTAAAATAATATTAGTGTTTCTCATAAAATCAAGCATTAGCAATATGCTACATACACTCAGTTTTGGATAACTACTATCACAATGCTGACTGTGTTGTGTAATTCTTACCAGATCCAGTGCAATGAAAGTTGCAGATTTAATTGCAAGGATTAGTGACGGCCAGTTTTCTGTGATATTTTCGGCATGTATATCCACTATAGGAATGCATGTTAAAGCCATGAATCGTACTTAAAATAAATATGATAACAAGTACAAGTATCTGAAGATTTTTTTTCCCTTTGGTAGGCAAAGCTTTGCTGCTTCTGCATTGAAATGATAACATTTCCCTCGCAGTCAGTTTTCCAATTATACTACATACTACATTAAGTAATTATTTGTTATGAGAATTGCTGGCATTCTTGCGCCTGCGATAATCATGTCAACTCAACAAGCATGCGCAGTGCTAAAACGTGGTCGAATATTAGAAAATTCAACGTCTTGGCCCGCGAAAATAGTCAAAAATACGCAAAATATCTTTGGACGGCTGGATTATACGAGGTTTTATTGAACTATTTCAAAAATTTTGAGGGATAAAAACTGTACTTCGAAGCCTGAAATAATCACGAAATTGACGGCAGACCTCATCATACAGTCGTCACAGTTTAAAAGACAGAGAAATTGATCTACGAGGTAGTAAAAATTATGGCTTCATTTCAGATTATTTAGGCATAATAATGCACATGTATGCAATCTTGAAACGAAAAAGGCAGGCTTTTTTCTTTGCGCTTGAATTTCTGTGGTATTTGGTCTGCGAGGCTAGGTAGCCATCAACTAAATTGATGTGTCCTCATAATTCATTAAGGGTGAATCAAAAGTTGATTTTATTACTATTTCAAATGAAATCTTTTATTGTGCAAACTCATACTTATTTAACGAAAATGTTATCAATTATAAATCAATTTTTATTTTTCTTATTTTGTGTGAAATTTGAAAATTAAGCATTTTGTAATTTTTCTTGTTTATCAAGAAAATTAATTAGGCCGTATTCTATGGTGGATTATTGTTCAGGTTGAGATGCAGAAATTCATGACTAAGTAAAAACAACATAGATGTACTGATATGTACTCACTTAACATAAATCTGCCTGTTTACATCCCGAAAACTTGCAATCAAGAGAGCTAGAGCCATCAAAAATTCGACATTTATTTACTATATCCGCCATATTGTTTTTGTGTGAAATTCACTAAATTTGCTGGCTCATATTCAAAAAACGGTGCTAAATAATGATTAGGGATCAATCCTTCTAAGTTAATTTGAAATGATATGTTTAGCTATTAATCTTCCATAGCTGCTTGATGGACAAAAAGACTAAAAAATGAAAAAACAATTCTTGAAATTGAATTGTGAAGGAGTCCTTCATCTTATTGTGTAAATAATATAACGATAATAAATGGGCACATGAGATTGCGTACTCAGAATCCTTTGGTCGCCATCTAGTTCCTGATGTACACACTGCTGAGCAGTGCATTCTTAATAGAACATTTCATTGAAATCGCTTATGAAGTTTTCATGTGTATCGTCGGCATCATCGTAATCGCTATCATCGCACTCATCCGCTCTTTTATTGGGCCGCCATCTTTAGAGGCGAGTTACTGCAGTCAGAACAACCGCAAATGTCAGTACATTGCAAACCAGACCTCACGCACGAGCATCGAAGATTCTTGCAACCAGCTTTACACTTGCATGTCACGCACTCAATAAGTGTATCTGGAGCAGAAGGTCCAGTCATCCAAAGAATCTCTAACTGACCATTTTTAATGTGCCATCCATGGCTCACAGGAGGTTGAACATTAATGTGCGATTGCAAACTATTCTTCCAGATGGCTGCTTGGTAGTTGGCTCTCTTAATGTGCAAAAGCAGGCTATCTGCATTCGGGGGAAGGCATTCGGGGGAAGGCATTCGTCCGAACACTTGCCAGATACAAAGAGAGTGTACCTAGGACCGAAAGAAATACAAAGCAAATGCAAAAAAGACAATAGTAGCAAAAATATATTTTATATTTACCTTGAAGCATTAACACGCGCTGAACTCTTATCGCCATAAAGAAGACATACAAATTTATTTAAAGAAAGCACTACTTCCTCAGGAAGATCAGATGTCGAACCAAGTAATTTAAATGTTTCGATAAACTCAGGGTTATCATGAAGTACCTTCCAAGGTTTCCCTTTCCCTTTTCCCGTAAAGGCACTCGTAGAATCGCAGCCTATGCCGAAAAAAGAAATTATACCAATTGTAGATTATTTGTAGCGCATGAGGCTTTTTACTTCTCATTTTATGGTGATGAAGCCTTGTTTTTTTCAATTATGCAAAGAATAAATTACAAGGCTAAATGGATGTTTGCTGGACATATAAATTGTACTCACCTGTGAATGCATGAAATGACGGTAAGCATTGGCACAAATCCTCTCCGAGTGCATCTGATATTGACGTGATATTTATGGCTCGAAATTTTTTACCAGTTCCGGTCAATAAATAAAGATCTTTACCAATTTTCTTCTGCATGGCAGTGCAAATTACAAAAACATCAGTATCGGGGGTTTTGACGATAAGATGATCATAAGTTTGCGCTGCATGCTTTACATGAAGTAGCAAGCATAAATGTATTGAATAATCTATATAGTGATCAGAATTGCCAGGTTGTTCAAACTGGGGGGAAATGCATCTGCCAAAGATGTTACACCTAAATGGAGGTTCTAAAGAATGCTCCCTTAAAAAATGTTTGATTGTATGTTCTCTAAGATGCTTTTTCTTTCAGACAAGTTTTATAATAATCTTAAAGCTACACATTTTTAGAAGGGAAGGTTTCAGTCAGATGTGTCAACAATTGTATTCAAGCAATCTTACAAACAACATTTGAAGATTGCTGTTTATTAGACTTTGCTATTTGACCGTTTAAGTACAGCAAGCAACTATTTTTATTGATGTTTGAAATTGTATTCATTGCATACTCCCCTTTATTTCTTTTCATATTTTTCAAAATCTCAAAATTGGTCTCAGGAACAACTGTGGGGGGAGGGGACATGTCCCCCTCAGTTTCCTTTTGGCGATGCCACTGAGTGATCATTGTCTTTAATTCAACATTACTGACCAACTGTGATATGTCTTTAGTAATTAGGGAAGGATTGATCTTTTCATTAAAAAGTACTGTACATAAGTTGTTGATAAGTACACGAATGGATCATTCAACTAGCTTATCCATTTTGTTCTAGGATACAAGATTTCAGTCATTGAAAACCTTGGAGCAACTTTGGTATGTATGTATGTATATCATGAATCTCCAGTCATATTGTGTATCATACTGTATATGTATGTGCAATATAGGTTTTTATGAAGAGAAATTTTATCCAATTATTTGATTGTTTTGTAAAATAATATGTCTCAAATAATAGTGAATGTTGCTTACAGTTAGTTCATATCTCATTTAATTTGGAACCAATTGTGATTTCTGAAATCAGAAGTGCAACATCGTTAGCTGTACTTGATTTTTAGCTTAAATATGGAAGTGTGATCTCTCCAAAGGGTTATAAAGAAAATTTTTTAAACAAGTTGAAACTTTGCAAGTTTAATCATTAGAGACTCTTACTCATTTTTGATCAGTTTTGTTCCCATTCAAAGTTCAAAATCCTTTTTTAAATTATTTGAATCATATCTATCTCTTTTAACATCTTTTAGAACTAGTTGCAAATTTGTGCGCATTTGACAACTTAGTAACAAAATTCAAGTTTTGCTATGTTATAAGAAAAGAAAATGATGTTAGCTTTTTTATGTGGCACCAGTCTTCTTTATTTATCCTTTGAAATCGCTAAAGAACACTGCGTTTGAGGCACTTCACCATCTTTCATTTTGAGAGTATGTGACTAATGCAAGAATTTAATTTAACTTGGCTCACAAAAAGTAATGGTGAATACATACCTAGCAAATTGTTTCATGACTCATATTTGAAGAATAGAGGCTATTTTCACTCTTAGTACACATATGAAAGTCAAAGATGTGAAAATGTACATTGCTTTGACAATACAAATTATTTGACATAATCAGCCGATTACCGAATATCATAAAATGCCTGATTAATCAGCTTTTCCAATTATTCTCTGATTGATCAGTGCATCCCTATAATATTAATCATCATATTTAAGATCTTTTAATGAATTTAAATTGTTGCCATACATAGAGCTCTGTAGTCTTTACGCATGTGCTCTGTTTTTCAACTATTTTTGACACATCCATGTTTCCAATACTAACTTGATGAAATCCCATTTAAGGGAAGTCCCACTTTCTTCGTTGCGACAAGTCAAATTTAACTACCAACATGATGACTCAAATTTTATAAAGCATGTTAGCAAGAAGCTTTGAAACTGGTCTTTTGCTATGGAAGTAATTTCAATTGACCAAAATGTTTCTTATATACAGTAGAAAATTTTGAAAAAACTTCATTTTTTTTGAAAAAAAACGTAAGCAAAATGTGTTGTTTTTACGCAAAAACGATGCCCACAAAATACATTTTGTATTGCTCTAAAACGCTGAAAATGGCATTTCCAAGGCTCTGAAATTCAAAATTCTCAGGGGAGAATGCCTCAGACCCCCAGGTGCGGAGCGCCTCCGACGTTTTATGACTGATGTTTGAAAAATCCTAGATCCGCCCCTGGAATTTACTTCTTACTTGTTAGCACTTCTGTATACATATACGTAAGCGATGTAGTATTACATAGAAAAAAAATTTTACGACAACTACAAACATATTTTCTTAGCGGTACTTATGTCTTACCAGCAGCCTTCTTTGTTAACAAATACTAAGAGTAAGATATAACTTGAAAAAAAAGACTTGCATGGTTGTGGTTGCAACCTTAAATTTTGAACAGCGTATTTGTAATGGTGAATGTCATTTGAATAGTTCTTAAGTGTGGGTGGCAAAAAAATTGAACGCATTTTTTCCGGGATTATTTTCAAGAAATCTTTGTCGATGATTGATCGTCGGTAGATAAAAACAAATTGCTCGTTAATTTTTCAGGATATCCATCCGAAAGAAACATTCTTTTAAAGAAGTTAATATATTTTCAAGAAGTCAAGAACTCCTTTGTTGACAATCCCTACTCATGAGCTTTAGCAGGCACTCTACCAAAGACATTATTTCTCTTCGTCAAGAGAACAAGTCCAAGCGTGTATCCAAACCCGTGAGAGTAACTTTGCGAAGAGTAGTAGTAAGGAATTTACTCAGTATTGCGTTGCTGAACAAGAACGTCTAAAAATGTTAATCGATGGTTTAGCTCTTGTTCAGTAAGTATTGTAATTAAAAAACAGGTGCCAGGAAGAGAATCTTGGCAGAAATAATTGGCAATTTTCATCGTTACAAAATAAGGAGAAGTTGTAATCCACGTCTATGCTACACAGTAAAAACAGATTGGTCAAAATTACCAACTTTTGGTCGCGACCAATTTTTAAATTGGTCAAACCTTTGTGACCACTAAAATTTGGTTATTTTGATAAAAAAATTTGGTAAAATTGTAAATATAACTGCACACGTCGGCGGCCATCGCGATAGCAGTTTCACTAACTTTACTTTGGAACTATTAAAAATATTCGATACTCCAAACATCAGTAACCCCGGTTTAAGGTCGTTAAACTTCATTGTCATAAATTATTGGTATGCCAATAATATCCTTCCGCAGGTTCACCTACGGAAACCTTGTTACGACTTTTACTTCCTCTAAATGATCAAGTTTGACCAAGGATGAGCCGGAACTCATCTGACAGTGCCAATCCAGAAGTTCGAAAAGGCAATTAAACAATCGTGAAAGCTAGTATTAAGCGATAACTATTAAGCACATTTCATCACAATGTAACCAATTACCATGGTTTTACCTATAATAATACAGCGGTTTTTTGAAAAAAGCGTCAATATATTGTGACATTGTCGCATATTTACGACATCAATTAAACGACGTTATTATATGGCAAGCGTGACTTCCGGCAAATTGGTGCGTCTTGATTGGCTCAGAAACAATTTTGCCGGTCCACTACTTTCCAGACGATACAATTTGAAACGATTTTTTTTTCTGATGAAAACTAGAAAAGTGAAAGCCAACACGTATAAAACAGCAAGGACGAAAAACAAAGCAAGCTTCGTTTCAGGTCAAATAATGCCATGTAATAAACTTTTTAATAAGCTCTGATATGACTTTCTAATAAGACTGAAAGCTCGCTTTCAGTCTATACAGAAGTAAAGAAGGTGACATCAATTGACACCATAACATCAATATTCTTAACCGAAGAAAATAACTAATCGCAGATTGTCATGGCAATGTCTAATGTTGTCCGACTCTTGCAGATTTACCTTCTTGCTCCAATGAGCGCAGCCTCTGGAGAACGATCTTTTTCATGCCAGCGGCTTGTCAAGACACATCTCAGGAGCACAATGACGGCAGCACGCTACAATAATCTTATTGTTATGCATGTGAACAAGGCCAGAACTGACGAACTGGACTTACGTTTTATAGCTAAGGAAAACGCTTTGTTCTGAAAAACAAACGTAGGGTTAATTTTTTGGTAAATTTTAATGAGATCGCATTAGTAAAATTGTTCATGTAGTCATCTTACTTCAATTTGTTAGCAATTTGTTAGCACGCACGCCGAGCAGTAGAGAATACGCATAGCATTCTAAGAATGTCTACCAATATTTTGCAGACTTTGAAACTTAATCATGATTCATGAAACAAGGCATATCTGTAATATACTAAAACAGTAAGCTGCAAACTCACATGCCCTTTTCGGTCAGTGCCCCCACGTTTGAGATACTTCCGCGGCCCCTGCATGAAGGTGATTTTAAAAGGTGTCGAAAGATAAGTAAATTTTTGTCAGTTGTGGTGTGTTCCCTGATTCTGGTGGAGAAGTGACGGGAAGTTTCGCCAATGTATCGGGAATTATATCCCGCACAATCAAATTGGTATACCACCATAGATTTAATAGAATTAGGGATAGGATCTTTGAATGACAAGTGATTTTTGATTGTTAAAGAAGTGAAAATTAGTCGGATATTAATGTCAGTGCTATAGCGTTTGACGATGTTTGTAAGTCTGCGTTGTGTGTGTCGTGAATGTCATGTCCAATGTACGGTAGTTTAAAGCAAAGAGTTCTTATATCGACTGTTCGTTGTTGTTGGTCGTGGTTGTTATATCGCATGTTTTAGCGTTTGCTTTGTAGTTAGTATTAATTTTTTCAAAGAGTTATCCTTTGACAGTTTTGTCGATGAAGTATAGTGTGAAAGAGTTGCGTAATAAAATAGATGTGATGTTCTTTCGGTCTTGTTGAAAGCCATTGTCGGTGTTGTTAATTTTGTATGCTCTGTCTATAAGTGTGCGTATTAATCCAGTCTTGTAAGAAAGTGGTGTGAAACTGAAGTAGTTCCTCAATAGTCTCGTGTAGGATGGTTTATGATACGTCGACGTTCTACAGGTGTCATGTGATTTTGTTAATAAAATGTCTAAAAAAAGTAGTTGGTTTTATTTTTCAGTTTTAAGAGGAAATTTAATGTTCGCGTGCAGTTTGTTGATGTAACTAAAAAAATGCATAGCCTCTGTCTCGTTTGTAAAAACACAAAAAATAGCCGTTTTAGGTCTGTCTTGTTCATGATAAACTTAGGTTTGTCGGTGAAAATAGCGTCAATGTATGGCTTTAGGTCAATCGTTCAGTAAGTGGTATGTTAGTGAATAGGCTTTTAACGTCGTTTAAAATAAGGAATTTGTGACATGAAGTTGATGAGTTAAAAGAAGTAGTATAAAGAGTGCCAGTTCTGGCGCACCTCACACCTTGAGACCTATTATACACAAATCTAAGCGCCCCAGCCCTAGTTCGCGTACGTGCTTACTATATATGTCTAAAAGACGTTTGCACCGGATAGCAAAGGCCAAATCCAGGAGCCAAAGACGGCCGGCCCACCCCCCAGCGCCCGCGCGGCCGTCCGTCGGGGTCTATTATTTATTTAGACAGAAATTCTCACATAGAATATATGTCTTGACACATTATCATGAGGCAGGGAAAGTACAAGTGTGCGTGGTTATTACCCGGAAAGCTCACCACATGTGGGCGAAGCTCCATAGGTGAATACTGCAGACTTGGTAGGTCTGAGGAGGTTAAGGGAAGGCGGGCGACTTCCACAACCATGTCGTAAGTGTGGGGTCGGAACACAGGCAGAAAATCTTTTGTCAAGCCTGCGGTGCGGATAGGGTGCATCATTAGCTCGTTTATGCGGAGAAACAAGCAAGAAAGAGATTTGCTAGAGTACTCGCCGAATTAATTTCGACATTTTGAATTAATTTCGATTTAGAGATTTATCTCACATAGGGTATAGCACTAAAATTTGCGACACTCGAGATGAATATTGTCGAGAAATTTCTGCAATTATATGACCAAGTGTAATCAGCGAACACGCGCTGAACGCCTCTCTTAAGGTTCTTCAACCGCCCGTTGCCCCAACACCCAAGCCAAGAAATGTCACTCCGCCTATCCCCAAACCGCGCAAGCGCAGCCCCGTCAGGTCTACCGATGAAGAAATTGATGCATACATCGACGAGCTTCTGGCTGAAATTAAACCACGACGTCCCACAAGGGCCCCTCCCCCACCACCTACGGAACTTAAGTGGGATGAAACGAAGGCCTTCAGCTATCATCTGAGAGCCTGGAAAATGCAGGTGCCGAAGGGGCACCCCTCCGAACGCGACTTGATGGCTTTCCTCAAAAGCGCCCAGCCCCACATCAAACGCAAACTCGTCGAGGAGCTATTAGCTCTACAAGGAGATAAGTTCCAGTTGGCTATAGAGGTTGAGCTTCGGAAGGATGAAGCAAATGGTGCTGAAGTGCTTCAAGCACCAGTGTTCCGGACAAAGCAGATCACGCTGCTACAGGCGTATGAGATTCCGCAAGCCCTACATGAATCCTTCCCAACAATCCTGGAGAGATTGGAAAAGCCCGCACCGCGCACGGTAGTTTCTTTTTCCCCATGTCGACAAACGTTTCCCGAGACATTGCTCTCCAGCGAGCCATCGGCAATATCGCCGAACTCCAGAAGTGGAAAACCTCTCATTTGCAGACCTTAACCCCTGAGATCGTGGCAAGCTGCTGTAGCAACACCATGGCAGGCAACCCAAAGCTCCTCCGGAAGACCCATCATTAGCTTGATACGCGATACGTGATACGTTGTTCATATCTTATGGCACATTAAACCTCTGACTAAAATTAATTGATATCAACGGTTCTTAGATCCAGAAAGATCGGATACCCTTTGGAAATGTACTCTACAGCGTTGAATTTCAACCACAAGGACACCTCATTAACTTGTTGGTACGGGCGTAGACGCCGCAAGTCGGGCTTAGCAAACACATAATTGTTAACGCCATCGAGTGTCTGCACGACAAAGGTTTTGAGGACCCGGCTGTCAGAGTTGTCCTCATACTCCACAGCGGGGTAGATCAGATCCGTACAGAGGAGGACTGCCCACTGACCCGCGCTTAGGTCTACTGCATAAGGAAGGGTTTTCAGGAGGAGCCACCTGCGGCATCCCACGATTTATCTGCCGCACTCTCGCCTAAACCGAGGATGAGGGAGGGGCTATCTTTTTTCATCTTCAAAGTCTTACCAGCCGGCACCTTGACCTGAACTCAGCTCTGAGCCCGCACGTAGCTGAAGACTATACCGTCATGACCGGCGTTGGCCAGAGTCTGGTTTATAACTTTGATGAGGTGCCCGACCTCTTTGTATGTCCCCATGAGGATGCTGAGCACGGTCTCACCGCCACCAATAACAGCGTAAAGCTTGTTGCTTTCAGGCCCGACATTCAGATAATGGAGCTCAAACTGGGCACTTTTGACGAAAATCGCCTTTCCCGCAGTGTTCAGGTCCTTAACCTGCATCATTTGCCTGAGCAACTCAACCAGAAATTGTTGACATCTAGATTTGATTACATCAACCTTTTCAGAAGTTAAATTTGATTCCGCCAATGCCACTTGAGATAAAATACCAAAGTCGACCGCAGAAAGAGGCAAACGATTTCTCTCATCCTCTATGTCGTACGTGAGAGTGGAGCACCATGTTGTAAAGATCACAGGCCTCATAGTACGGAAGAGAAACGCTTTATACAAACTCATAACATCAGTGAGAAGTTGCAACGGGCTAGCAGAATCTGACTGAAACAGCTTATTTACTCGGTTTGATTCTTTAAGGATAGGCTGCAGAAAAATTAGATATAATTTATTCTCCATGTCACCATACATTTGAAAAAGTAATTCTGCAGTGTAGTTGCGATCTTCATCTTTGGCAAGCTGAAAGTGTAGTTTCAGTTCGTCAAACTGTTGGAGTATTCGGTCAACACATGCAGAAATAGATAGCCAACGTGTGTCGGAGAGCTTTAAAACCTTCAAAAGTGCTTCCCCCACGTTGATAGCTGAATAGATCAGGCGATACTTTCGTTGCCTAGAAGTGCTATGAGAAAACCAGTTGTGCGTTTCTGACACCATGAACTCCACATTCCGGGGCATTACTTTAAGAGCATGTGAGGAACAAAGTTGGATAGAATGACAAATGCATCTTATATGTATTATGTTAGGGCATATTTCACGAAATTTTGTGATTACAGAATTGTTCCTTCTACACATTGTGTTGCATCCAGCATCGCTGGTCCTAACACACATTTAATCAATGCAGTACACTTTGTTCTGTGGAGTTTAACATCTTTCCCTGAGATATCTTTAAATAACTCGCCAAGATGATCCACGATGTTTAAGCTAGAATGACACGCGATGTGGGCAGCGATCTTTATCTCTGTAACTTTTAGAGTACTGTCTACTTTTTTACTTTGACAACCTAACTCAAATAAGGTTCTTGAACTGGAAAAAGGTTGCTTGTTGCGCTTATGTTTCTCAGTTTTTGCATGAGCCATTTTATACCCATGATGTGCTCGAATTTCAGTTTTGCAGTACTTACAATATGCTTTTTGGTCGTCTCCTGGTACACTCAAAATCCATTCTTTCAAGATTTCTTCCTTTTCTCAGTCTTTACAATACTTTTTATGGTATTTTGCCCACTTTCCCATGTTATATTAGCACAATTACTGTTTACCACGACAAAAACAAAAACACGTGGAAGCTAGATCATCAAAATTTTTTCCAGCCCAAAAAATCGCGCAAAAAGTTATTTCCAGCCCAAAACCCCGCAACCCGCAATCTCCCAAAATTTCCCACAAACAGGCTTATAAACTAGCCCAATTGGACGGGAAAACCGCCCATTTGGCAACACTGATGTGTTGTGTTATATGCCCAATGTTCGGGTAAGCAAGATTTGCAGGCTATCGTACGAAGGCTTTCGCTTCGCGTGCATGTATATGGTTTCTCAATAAAGATGGATAGTATTATTTAAAAAATGATGCTTATCCAACTCGGCTATCACTCGACACGGTCCGATGGTAATTGGTTACTAGTGTAATTACAGAAGAATTCCTGATCGATGTAATGGTTTCATTTTATACTACTAACATGCCCGGTGTTAAATATTTTGAAACATCGCGATGTACAATTACCAATTTATGTTGGCACAAGAAACATGCCATTCAAAAACTTTTATAATGACAAAATTAAAATGCTACCCAAAGCAATGCACGTTTCTTTTTGAGTTAAAAACATGGCAACATATACATCGTCGTGATTTCGACGCGTTTTCAACGAAAATTGCAAACTTTATTTCACGTCGAAAAATGACGTTGTTTCGACGTCAAAATAGAGTAATAAGAGAGTTTACGTTGCCCGGTTTTTCGCGACGGTGACGTCTTGTATTTCACAACGCCGGCGCAAGCGTATTTTTAGTTTACGCAAATTCACAACGCCTCCTCAGCGGAAGAATAATTGGCGGGAATATAAATCAGAAAACATTGCTTGCAAAAAAATTCAAAAACAAAAAATGCCGAAGTGGAGAGCAATTCGAGAGCGTCTTTTTATGTCTTATTTGGATCAATCAAAAGACGACGAAGACTTTATTTTGCTTTTCAACTTATATACTGCTAAAAGTCCTGATTTGCCTTATTGGAAATACGAAGAGTTTGATATAGATAAATTAAGCGACGACGAGTGTAAAGCAGAATTTCGGTTTACGAAATCACACATTTACACTCTTGTGGATGCTTTAAGGCTACCACAATTTTTTACATGTTATAACGGCCTTAAGGTTGATAGAGTTGAGGCAGTGTGCATATTTTTGAAACGTTTTGCCTACCCTTGTCGATACCTGGATATGTTGCCAAGATTTGGTAGACCAATCCCTCAACTCTTTATCATCAGTAATGCTGTCATAAACTTTTTATACATGGAGTGGAACCGTTTGCTGTTAACATTTGATCAACCATGGTTATCTTCTGGCAACATACAAGAATTTTGTAATGCAGTGTTTCAGAAGAGTAGTGCCTTAGAAAATTGTTTTGGTTTTGTTGATGGGACAGTACGTCCAATTTCTAAACCTAGTCAAAATCAAGGAGTTCTTTATAATGGCCATAAAAGAGTTCATGCCATAAAATTTCAGTCAGTGCTGTTCTAAACGGTCTTGTGGCTAATCTCTTTGGTCCTGTGGAAGGTAGACGCCATGACAGCGCAATGCTTGCCCAATCCAGTTTAAATAACAAGCTTCAGCAGCTGGATCATTTGAACAACGAAACTCCTGTTTGCATTTATGTTGACTCTGCCTATCCTCATCGACCTCTACTACAATGCCCATTTAACGGAGCAAGAATAACTCCTCAACAGCAACAATGGAACAAAGCAATGAGCAGTGTAAAAGTGTCTGTCGAATGGATTTTTAGGGACGTACTTAATTATTTTAAATTCCTTGACTTCAAAAAGAACCTAAAAATACAACTTAGTACAGTACGGAAAATGCACACTTGTTGTACCTTACTTCATAATGCAAGAGGCTGTTTTTATTGGTCTACAACTTCACAGTTTTTTGAACTTCAACCTCCATCTATACATGAATATTTTGTGTAAAAAGTTCAAAAATATTCAATCTTATCAAGTTGATTAATTGTTTAATGGACAGAGTTAAGTCATCAGGAACATTTTTTAACATCACTCAAATATACTCTTGTGGATAACTTTATGAATGTTTCGTCTATAATATCAATAACAGTAAATTGTTTATGTGAAAAAAGCTTGGTCTACTCTCAAGCAAACTATGCACTGTTTTAACAAAACATTTCAGTCTTTTTTAACAATATTCTGCATCGATGTTAGTAAAGCAGTGTTTTGAAGTTGCAGTTGATGTATTAGTTGCTCTTGCTGCCTTTGCTGAGCAGCAATGCTGTCAGTTAAGGTTTTAGTGAGAGCGTCCTGTTGAGAAATGATGTTGTTTTGTTGTTGCTTTCTTTCATCAGCTTTAGCTTTTCTCAACATCAAGTCTTCTCTTTTAAGTTCTGCATCAGCTTTTGACTTTTGTTGTAAATAGGCAATGGTTTCACTTCCATTGGATGACATTCTTCTTTTAGGTTTTTCACCATCTTTACTTTGAGATTTTCTTTTGCAAGTTTCAGCTAATGTTTCCATTGACTGTTGTCTCATTTCCACAGCCTTTTCTACTTCTGCAACAGAGTTTTGTTTTTGTTTCTCTTCCAAAATTTTCTCTTCATCTTTATTTCTAAACAATTGAATAATTTCCTCAATGGAAGTTTCTACTGCAGATGGCTCTGGAGAGATCCCAGAAGCTTTTTCCTCCTCTCTTAATCTTTTCTTTTGTTGTTTTTGAAGTAAAGTGTAGTGGTCTCGAACAGACTTTAGCGTCACGTTAAACTTTGGGCTATCCATATCATTTAAGGAATCACTGATCATTTCCCGTGCATTACCTCGTTGCTGTGATCCTTTTTTGAAGTTCCATGGTTGACAAAGTACATTTCACGAACTAGATTTTTTATTATGCTCATTTGTCCAAGTCATTGCTTTTTTGCTAAAATTACAAAAATAATTAAGAATGCAAAGGAAACCAAACAAATAAATTAATTATAAATTTATAATATTTCGTGTAATATGAAAACAATTAGTTGAGTTGTAATATTTGAAAAAAACAATCGATTTAGTACTCTGTGTGTTAAATAATTTGCTCTTATCTCAGTACAAACTGAACATAACAATAACCTATTGCTAAAAAATGCTTTAAACACTTAAAACTGTTGGATTCCTACCTTTTTGTGTTTTCATGTTCATCCGCCATCTTGAACATGCAGGACGCGTCCAAAGAAGACGATTTCACGGCGTCGTCGCCAAAGGAAGCAGCCAAAATGTTAAGCATGCGAATTAGCATTACCTCCCAGCGTCGTCGTCAAAATGTGAAGTTTCGTAAACTCACTATAGAGTCGAAACAATGACGTCGATTGAGCGTCGGTATTTCGACTTGGAAAGAACGCCGAAAATTACGTCGATGGACGTCGCGACGTCATTTCGACTCGATTTCGACTTCGATCGGACGTCGATTGCCTACTGGAATGTCTTTTAAAAAGTTTCTTTTGCACTAAATTCAGCCTTTATATGATTCATTCTTAGATATTCAAGAAACTATACGAAAGCTCTCGCCTTACAATTTACACCTGAAAAATCAAACGCCATATCCAAGGCTTGTTAAACATGTTTCTCTTTAAGAAGAATCTCGATTCAGAGTCACGCCGAATTCGTACATTCCATTGACACAAATGGCACAAAATTGAAAAACATTGCTGAATCTGACAAGTATTTTAAAGATATACAAAAAATATTACAATGTTTTACTGCATATGCCATGTTGGTACCGTAAAAAGTTAACTGAGTTAACAGGCTGGGAATTGACAGACGACAAGTGGGAGGAATTTGGGAAAGTATGTAAAATAAGAAATTCCATAATAACCGAAGGCTATGTCTTTTCCGAGAAGTAGCTATAGTTTTTATACGGATGTAGCACGAAGGGCGAAGTTTGTGCTAAGAGACAAATGTGATAATAAATTGTGATGATTTTTACTGCAAAGATTCTTTGAAGTATTGTGATAACGTGAAAATTCACATCAGTCAGTTATATTCAACAGTTCTGATTTTGCCTTCATCTTGGATAACTAGTCCAATGATAGATGATTTTGTGCATGATTAGCTACATGAAAAGGTCCGTTTTAATTTTTGTTTGGTCAATTTTTTTGTTGATTTACTTAGAATACACAGTTTTTATATTCTCGTCTGATTAACCTTTAGTAACAAACTTTTTGCTTTTTGAAATATTCGAGCTATATCGGCTTCTATTTAGTGTAGTTCAACTGCCGTATATATTTAACGTTATCCTAAAGTTCATGACTATTTTGTGTGTACAGACCGTAACATGGCGTAAGTATGCAATAAACCGTCTTTCCATCTTCAAGCGCAAATTTATTGCAATGAAACTTATAATTCTAAGTGAAAATTAAAATGAAAATCAGAATGAAAATTAAAAGTGACAACTGTACAATTATTTACTTTAGCTGCTCACTATTACTATCACTATAGCAGCTGAAATAAGAAGAATCGTTCCAATAACTATAGAAGCGATAGCCAGTCTTTTGGCCATTATTGCTGATTTCATGGCACTTTCATAGTCACCTGCATTGTAATCACGTCTTGCCTAAATAAGATGATAAAATTCAGATTATGAGAAATTTAGAAGTTCAAATTTTACAAAACACAATTTTTCTAAAACTGTCTGGCGTTCGGCAACGGAAAAAATCAAATTGAACACAACTGTTTTTGAACATTTCACAAAACACAATTTTTCTAAAACTGTCTGGCGTTCGGCAACGGAAAAAATCAAATTGAACACTTGATTAGCTACACACAGGACAAAATAAATCGTCTCTGTTTGCAAAAAACATTTATGCAAATCGATTTAAAAAAGTTACTTGATTATTGTAGTAAATGAAATTTCAATAGTGTTTGAAAAGAGTTTCCTTGACGTCAAGTTCAATATAGAAATTTCTTACATAGCTTGCTTGAAGTTTTGACAAAATGAGTAAAATGACTATACGAGTATTTTGTTGTCAATTAAGTTGCATAAAAATGCACTAGAGAAAGAAAGGCTGAATTTTCTAGCAAGCAAACATATGTACAACTTATATGAAATAAACACAATAAAACACAGAGGCTGATTGGTCTATAGCTGTGTTTCCTTTAGCCAGGGCTAAACAGATTTGAGCTGAACCAATTAAATTAGTCCATCAATCTAAGAAAATTTGCATATAATTCATGAACACACTTGAGAGGAAAAATCAAAACGTTTCCTTATTATTGTACTTTTTGGATTATTGCTATGTTATACATAAAAATAATGTTTTTTCATGTTTTTACAGGCTAATGCAAATTCTGCGTAGAGGTCTGTGAGAACTCTTGAATAGGTGCGACCCTCAAGTTCTCCCAACAGTCTCCTAGGTTTACGTAAGCCTACGCAAATACTCTCAACGGTCTCCTCGGTTTGCATAAGACTGTGGCAATATCTTCTATATTTCTTAAATGCATGATTAAAATAGTATGGAAATTTTGTGTATGTGTAGAAACAAATACCTGACGTGACATTTTCCGTGCAAAACGACCAAGTGGATGACAACAACACAGACACGCAAAGGTGGACAACCCCATGTAATCATTGAAAACTGGAATTGCTGTTGCCCCAACTGCACGCTGAGATTGGTTCTAAGTAAAAATATCACATTGAACTTTTAAAACACACTTTTTTTTAGTGTTAAGTAAATTTAAATTTAAATTTTGATAGAGTTATGTATTAGGTTGTTTTGATTCTTGTTTGTCCTTACTTGCACAACAACTGTTGTATTATTACTCTGCTCCTGTTGAATCATCGTGTTTGGTTGCTGAAGAGAATAAAATCGAGGATGGTGACTTTGAGGTGCATAATTTTGATTATTTTGAGGCTGTACTAGTGCTGGGTAATTAACGGGTTGTCGTTCAAGAGGGGGAACCAGAAGTGGGTAATCTTCAGGTGGATATTCTTCAGGTAAATCTTCTTCAGTAGGAGGAACAAGAAGTGGGTCATCTTGAGTATGATTTTTGCTAGAAGAGTGGCCGAGAAGTGGGTAATCTTGGGAGACATATCCTTCATTTTGAGTGAACTGTACTTGTGGGAAGGTTGAGGGCTGTTTCTCACTTCCATTCTTGTAAGGTTGCTCCATCTGGCATTAAAAAATCACAAATTTGAATTTGTTGAACTCTATAGGTTATAAGAGAAGAAGGAGCAGTCTTTCATCGTGGAGTGCACAACGGAAGCTCGGTCAGTTAGGAATTACTATATTTAACGTTTATGGAAAGCTTGGCGTCTTCATATAGTCATCACTAAGATTTTTCAACTTACACAACAACAGTTGTTTTGTTATTTTGTTGTTCTTGTGTCATTGGCATTTTTCGGGGAACAACATTAAAGAGGGTAACTTTGAGGTCAGCAACCTTCAATGGTTGATGACATAGAGGGTAGTTAGTGAGGTTATCTTTTTCATTGTGGTAGGAAAGGGGCTGATCTATCTACCATTAGGAAATTTTGGAATATTTATTTTTTGTGCCTTGTCCAACTTATTTATTGCGCAGTGCATAGCTCATGCCTAGTTATTAGTACGTGATAGGAAAAGGCCATATTGAACCGGCAATTCACCGCACACTGGAAAATTTCCTAGGAATATTGCTCTCCTTCTTAAAATCTTGCTGTCCGTTGAAGCCTGGTTTTACGAGCGATTTTTACTGTAACTGTTGAATGCTAATTTCTCATAAAAATTTTCAGAATTGTACTAAAAGTTTAGGGTTATAAGAGTCAGCATTGCAGCAAATAGTTTGATATAAAATGTGTGCCTTTCATACAGTCTACCAACAGCTAAAAATTAAACAAAACTAGTATGTAAAACATGTAACTCCACGTGTAATTTATAACAAGTCAGTTAATTATGTTTGTTCTACGAAATATTTTCATTTTTAAAAAGAAAATTTATCTGGGAAGACAAAATTTCTCATAGGGGTATGTTTTAGTCAACTTTATTCTTCGAGAAGAAAGGTATTCCCTTAAAAAAATATCACTTACTGACTGAGACTGAGGGAAACAGTTATGTGGTTTGCTTATTCGATTAGTAGATTTTAACATATATGGAATTATATTAACTGGCTGACTGATAAAACAAAGTTCGCTTTTCATCCTTCTAAAAAGCAGCTTAAACATGTACAATTGTCCTTTAAACTTGTTTTATATTAAAGTCCAAATATTCTTTAAGGTTTTTAGACATTAAGCTGGCTCAAAGAGCACTGTTTTGTGCAAAATATCCGGCAATTTCGAAGTGATGTATTTCGCCTTCGTACCCTCAATGGCGGTGATCATGCAGGCTTCAAAGATGGCGGCCAAGTTAGCCTTCCAGTTGTAATAGAGTTCACTGGTCAAAATCGGTCAAACCCATTGAACTTTAATAGATGGAAGGCTACCTGCAATAAAAAAGCCTAATATATTTTAATACAATTTTAATAAAGGCAACCAACTTTAAATAAAAAATAATGGTCTAACTTTTTTAGTAAAAAAGTGCAAAAATCACAATTTAAACTTTTTTATACTACTTTGTAGTTATATATCTTTTTACATAGCTAATTTATTTTTTTTTAAGTTTTTTTTTCATTTTTTTTTGTAATTTTATTAAATGCAACAGATTTTAAATAAAAGTCAGTAGTTCTACTTTTTTAAAAAATTATTGCTCAAATGAATAATTAAACGCTATTTGTTTAATTTATATTTACATGACTTTTTACCTGATCGTTCAACTTATACAAATCGGAAACATTCAGCATGTTTTTTGTTTATTTTGAAAGGATTCAACTGGATATATTCAATAATATACATGTTTCTCCACGAATCATTAATATCGTGTATTTGGTTCGTTTAAATTTTTGTCGTACTGTGATTGGTTTGACCGATTTCGACTGATAAGCAAGTGAACTAACATAGTCAAGCTCACTTTCTGAATTGAATGTTTGATCGTTTCGTAGTAATTTTCTAAATCATGATTGAAACTACAATCAGATAGAATTTAGCGAAATTATTTACAAATTCATATATTGACATGATATGGATGCTGCTGTCCAGACTGTGAATTTTTTCAAGAGGGTGAAAAATTTATGAGTGAATTGTAAATGCTTGGCAAAGACGATCTCGCGAGAGACATTTCAATCATTGATGTTCAAAAGCAAGCCATCATTGTTTAGAGTTTTCTCAGCAGAAATTTACATCAAATATCGTAAGTAAAGGACAACTGAAGTGTATGCATGAATGTAAAATATCAAAGTCAATTTATGCGAGTTCGTAATGCGATTTATGTCGATGTGGCGTATGGTAAGCAGATTGATGTTTCTAAATTTGTTGTTGCCGAAGGACTTTTAGCTATGATTTTTTTAAAGCTAAAGAAATCTTGGCCATTATATGGCAGCGAAATTCTACATTCTTCAAATCTATTTCAATGGACAAAACATCTGTAACCATATGGTGCAAAATATGTAACCAGAAGATAATAGTCTAGCGAAATGCCTAATAAACATTTATGGCATTAAGCTGCCCTTAATTGCAAATTTTCACTCTGATAATTTTAGCTTAATATTTGGCAGAAAAAAATTTTGAGTTCTTTCTCAAAAGGTGAATTTGCTGGCACTGTATGTGGAGATGGGTAAAGGGTTACTATAAACTTGCATGGTTTGAAATCGGAGCTTTTCTACATCTATGAACTGTCCCTTGTAGTACCAAATTTGTAACTTAACTCGTTACATATAGGTTTGAATGGGGGTCTCTAGGGGGGTCTATGCCTGACAACTTGGTAGAAATTTTTAAAGACTATATCTGTTTTTGAATAAATTTTATGTTCCTAGGCATGCTAATAAGCCTTATATTTGGCATGATAATGAGCCTAAATATTTGGCAAAACATTCAAGTATTGTTCACTTCAGTTTTTTTTTTTGAAAAAAACGTAAGCAAAATTCGCTGTTTTTACGCCAAAACGATGCCTACAAAAAACATTTTGTATTGCTCTAAAACGCCGAAAATGGCATTCCCAAGGCTTTGAAACTCAAAACTTCCCGGGAGAGAGTACCTTGAACACCCCAGGTGCGAAACGCTTCCGGCGTTCCATGACTGATGTTTGAAAAATTCTAGATCCGCCCCTGTTAGAATATTCATTTACACGATAAAACGCAGAGCACGAAAGATGTAATGATAAAAAATTTAGATAATACAATGACATATATAGAACTGAAATTGTTATGGGGTAGGTTGCACGTGCTCTTTACGGATGAAATTTCGAACAGAAGTTGTTTTTGTACAAACCGAGCACATATACAACGAGATTTCTCAGTAAAGACCCAGCAAGCTAAGTTAAAAGAAGGTATATTTTCTGGTATAACTCGACCTGAAACGAGGCTTTGTTCTTTTCTCGTCGTCGGCATTGTTTTTCATACACTGGTTTTCACTCCTCTAGTTTTTTGTCAGCAAAAAGTGAATCGTTTGAAATTGTGTCACCTGGATTATTAAACGCACTTTCCGAGTATGCTTTCTTCGACTCACATTCGTGCATTATTCTTGCTTCGCTTTCGTCTGGCAACAAAGACGTCGATGTATTTGCCATATATATGTCTGCGAATTTGAACTGCATTTTGAGATTGTTCTTTTGTCTTATAGTATTTGTTTTAATACTAGGTTATAGGTGTACTTTTCGAATAACATAAATTAACATTTTTTTGAATAATTTACATATCATATGTATGACACATGTTTCAAGATAATGACTTGACAGAGAGACAGTTAAACGTAATATTTGGAATGAATATTGAACAAACACTTTGCAAACCTGTGAATAATATATTCTACTAACCTGTGAACATACTGCTAACCAGTATAAGAAGTCGAATAAAAGGAGCCTCGCCTCAGAAATAAGAATATTATTTGTAGTATGGCTCACATATTATATTTCTTTATGTTCTGTTTTGTATCACCACAAAATTTTATTCCGATCGAATAAATAGTCAACTATACGATTTGTTAGTTTTCTTGTCTAACCTGCATGATGCAACATTTACGCCATAATTGGTCACAAGAATGTAGAAAACCTTGTTCGTTCGCACTTTAATACTGTTAAATTACTGAGCGTGTAAGTGAATATTCTTTTGTAAACTTGTATTCGATCCTTCGGGTTGCTTATTGAATGTCTTTTAAGTATTATTGAATTTTACCTTTTATTTTAAGTCAAAATCAATCCAACTTAACTTTCTCAAATTCCGTTCGTTACATAAATATTCCATAGTTATATTGTTGTGCCGCAGCTCTTATTGAATGTTTATTTTCTTAATTGCAGGGCAGAAGGTGTATTTTAATACGAAAGTATCTTTAACCAAACACTTTCGCATGCAAGTAGCCCGAGTAAACGCCAGATACGCGTCAAACGGTTTCCAATCGTTCGCATTTTATTTCCGTATTTATCATAACAAAATCATCCCAACAGCTATAAAAAAATGAAGAATTTCTTGTAGTTTAGGGCAAACGTATTATCGAAACCTACCTTGTTTTTGAATGTGGTAGTTATCTTTAAAGATCCTTTTAATAAAAACGTTAAAAAAACAGAACAAGTCCTGTCGTTTGACTGTATGTCTGCGTATGAAATTTTAGCGGAACTGGTGTAAGTTAAAAGAATGCATTAGAGCAGCTCATTTTAAATTTTAAATACTTTCATTGTAAAGTTATTAGTGAGGAATTTCTAAAGAATATTTAAGAAATAAATTATTGTCAATAAGACAATAAAATATTTTGCTGTAAAATATTTTGAATTGAAAATATATTCATCCTATCTTAGCCTGACTAAACCTGTATATAATTGAAACTATATTTATACCAATGAAGCCTGTCTAAACCTGCTGTATTCAAGATACCTTAAACTGTTTAGGTTATTAAAATTTCTTTGTTTCATAAATTTGATGCTTTACAAAACTCCTTTAAAACTAAATCAAGCAATTTAACATTTGAAGTGACAAATTTTTCCTTAGTCGTTTTCATTTCGTTTCGTAAATGTTGCAGAATTGTATTTCTCAACAAGTCGAATTATGTGAAATTTTTCGAATATTATGGAGAAAATAGCACCTCTAGACTCTTCGCGCATTTATTCCGTTATTTGTTTCTCAAGCGACCCGAAGGTCAGGGCAGTACAATGACTCCGACAGGTTGGAGGAGAGGGGGCAACCAAAATTTTTCGAATGAAAAATTAAAAATGCAAATATTCTACGTACATTAATAAAAAAAACTGCTCATTTTAGTAATTTGTTAATCTTATTTGTCACAGTACGGATCAATTATCATTTATTTTAAATGTAGAAAAGTATGCATTGGTTTATGGGGCGCCAAGCGTAAAAAAATGTTTTAACTTATGAGTGTTGTTTTTCATTATTAGTTACATAATTTGTTATAAACATACAAACCAGAGATGATTTGCATATCATCATCGCATTATTTGCAAACCATTCATAAATGGTTTGAAAACAATCCGTGGATGGTTTACCTTCTAACTAAATAATCCATAGATTGTTTGTAAAACAATGACGGTCAATTTTGGTTGCCTGCAAACAAGACATAGATGGTCTGTAAACAATCCAAATATGGTTTGCATACAATGTGAGATTATATGCGCGCGCCAAATGTTAAATAAATATGGCCGGCGTCGAATGTAAAATAAAGTTGCTTGAAGCAAAATTGACGGGTAGAAATACGGGGGAGAATCTTTACTTTATTATCAAATAGCGCCAGAAACCTTTCAAGTTTCAACAGCACTAAACAAAACCAAAACTAAACACATTGTATAAAAAATCTTTCCATAATGCTTGGTTAAGTCGGTTAAACGCAATATAGCGAGAGTCACGGAAGTCTTACACGAGCAACCCGACAATGACACTGAGAACGAAATTATACAGGAATCGAGACGGTACGAATTTCAATGAATTTGCGCTAGTGATTGTTTTGATTTTATAAACATGATCTGTATATTTTATCATATTATGGCAAAGGACGACCAAAAACTGATGTAAAACCTGATCAAATTAGGGAAATGTTTGACCTAGGGTTCACTGTTTCACAAATGGCTACTCACTTTCATATGAGCAGGCCTACAGACTACAGTCTACAAGCTCTTAGGTGAAACAGACGTTGAATATTCTTCAAGGTTTACCAACATTGATGATTCCCATCTTGATAAAATTATCGCAGAAATTAAAGAAACTCATCCAAATGCTGGCGAAATTATTGTAATGGGCCATCTTAAAGCAAGAAATATCAGGGTACAAAGAAATAGAGTCTGAGCATCAATACAAGGCCCACAAGGCCCCATAGAGCGTAACTCCAGAAACTTTCATCCAAGAGTATACGAGACTCCTTGCCCTAATTATATCTGGCACCTAGACGGGAACCATAAGCTTGTAAAATGGGGATTTGTCACTAAACTTGGAATTGATGGTTTTAGCCGACTTATAACATATGGACAAACATCAGACAATAACAAGACTGATAATGTAATAAGGAAATTTCTTGCAGCAACAGCTCAATATGATTCTGAGGAGAACACAGTGTTATAGCTGGTACATCTGTTCGTAACCAACGGGTTGAAAGATTGAATGGTGATGTCAAAAGCCAGTCAATCATTTTGCTGATACAATCAGAGAACTTGAATTTGAAGAGAAACTTGATATGACAAACAGTACTGATAAATTTTGCTTGCACTATGTTTGTTTTTTTCCCCGAGGATTAACAGGATTTTGACAGAGTTTGTGAATGCCCACAACTCACATAGCATTTCCACTGAAGTTTCTGCCACACCACTGCAGCTTAAGTTTGCTTACAGACACCTTACTCAGTTACGTCACTTAACATTGCATTCCACACCATATCCATCAGTTTTAGCCCGGGAACTTCTGAGGAACCCTGCCATTTTGCCTTACGTTGAAGTCTTACCCTCTGTATCTCCCCTTCCTGATGTGGTATTGACCCAACTGAGAGAAACAATAAACACTTTAGCTGTGTCCAATGACAAAGGGAAAAACATTTATATGGAAACTGTTCGGTTTGCGGAAAATTATCTCACTAATTCTACCAATGGAAATGTGCAAAATGCTTAGCACATCATTAAAAAAGCACAATGTCAGAGATGAAAAACAGAAAGTAAAAAACTAAATAGGTAATTCAATAACAGTGGGACTTCGGTTAATATGCCAAACAATATTTCAAACAATTGGTGTGCTAGTGTTTCAAAAATAACAAGTATTTTTAACTACATTTGAAACCTTCATTTTGAGCATTGTACTTTGTCGATCAAAAACAGTGAAAACCATAAGACTCACACTCCAGTGCTTTGTCCATGGCTGCTGAGAATTGGTTGAACATTAGATGTTTTGTTAGAAGATAAAACTTTATTCCGCATGTGCCAGCTGTAGGGTAACTTGCCTCTAGATCCTCGATAAATGCAACATCTTTTTGCTGGGAAGGCTTCCAGCGACTGACTGTTGTCCAGTAATGAACTGAAAAAGAGCAATACATCTTCTGAATTTTTTATCTAGTGAAACATAAAAAAACATTTTAACTTTAAACATGTTGCAACAAGCGCACAATTGAACGAAGAAATAAAATCCAAGTTTTTCCGACATTGATTGTCAAGTACTGTATATACTCCTTTGAGCGCCCTATTAAGCACTAATTACTTTTAATTGTATGATTTATCAACACACCATGTCAAAATTGTTAAAGACGTTAATACAAAACAACCACGAATCGTTAACGTCAATCTCAAAAATTTATTTTTTGAAAAACATATTAAAAACGTCCTTCTATATTTTTAAATATTCTTGATACAACGCTCAACTGAAAAATCTTTCAAATGAGCGGCGCCCCCGATTGCAAATATTGTATTATAAAAAATAGATATGGCTCGGTTCGTACGTAAATCTTTGATATTCCAAAAAGCTTACCATCGCCACACGCTATTTCGATGTTCTCTTCTATATACTCAAATTGTTTGGTTCGTTTTTCCGACTCGTTTATGCCTCCCTAAATTTAACATGCTGCAGCAAGACATTGCTGTTCAAAACCATATTCGTCGAGACAAATTTCGGCAGAGAGTGCTGAGGAAATTTTCTAGCAGTTTCCTGAACCTTGAAAAACTTTAGTCCTTGCAGAAGTTGATTGATGGCAGATTCTCGCTTCCATATAACTTCGTGAAAAATGGCAGTCGCAACAATCTGCTCTTTTTCCTTAAAGGTAATAGCACCAGTCTAACCTGACAACAGTAAACAAATAGGTCCTTTTGATAACTTGGAATAATGTACTTCGTAGATAAATTGCACACCTGTATTGTTAGACTATGTAGTCTAACACATCTGGCCGTGAAGCTTATCGAGAAAAGTTTTTTTCAGTACATGTAGAAACCTGAAAAAGATTGCAAATATACGCAAAACATCTCACTTTTATATCGCATAAATCATATCATAATTCCTCCACTTGGTATACCACCTCTTGGACCAGTTCCTTTGTTTCTTTATGTGGAACCATTTCGGACTTGCAGAACAAGAGACAGGACTCGGCATTTTGATTCAAAATGTATTCGAACAAGGGCCGACCCATAAATGGAAATCCTAAAAGCATGATACACATCTTTCTTTAAAAAGATCATTTCCTCATATTCTGTTAATGATCCTAAAATCTGATAGTATAGACAGTATAGTACACGATGTTACACGAATATTTCCTTCTAGTCTATGTCAACAAAACCGAAATGTGCCTTCACTTACCTATTCCTCCATTTGCTATGTAGTGTGCAATCATAGTTCCAAAAATGCGGAAGTGATCAAGTCTTAATGCTGGGCCTTTCATTGCCGGCAAAAGATTCGGAATGTCTTCATCAAAAAAACCGAAGTAAGTTTACGTCATGTTATCTGCCAATAACTGGAAAAACTCTCTACGAAGCCCACCGGTGTCTATACCAAGCTCTGTTCCATTGTCATCAAATGAAACATGGAATGTCTTTCTAAATTTGCACCACCTTGTTTGTAAAACATAAATCCCTCTTGCCAAAAATTATCTCTAGAAACTGACAGTATAAATCTTTCCAGTCAACTGTCGTCTGAAGTATTCTGCTGTTTCAAAATTACCTGTAATGAAAACATTTACAATTTTGCACTATTTTCTTGGCGCCATGAGAAAGATGTCACATTTAATAACGTTTTGAAGACCTTTATTAAGACCAGTCAAAACACAAAAACACAGCCAGAACGCCACAGCAAGATGCAACATATATTGCACTTTCAACATAAATTAATGTCATATTTGATGTTTATTTATTGAACCAGTGTCCAAATAACTCACCCAAACTTTCAACAGTTTCAGCTGAATTGGAGAGCAATTCCTCAATGGCAAAATCTATATTGACATTGTCTTTTAATGCCTCTTCAAATTGCTTTACTGATGTTTGAGGAAACATTACTCGTAATGTCTCCAGGTCTTTGCTGTCAACATCAGAATTCCCAATCTAAAGGTTATTAGACGTTGCTACAATTAATAGGAAAGTTTGTGTAAAATGAATTGAATATCATAGAAATTTTTTTAAAAAACCCAACTTTGTTATTGATCATGGAATTTACGTAAATCCCATAATGAATAACAATAATGGTAAAGTGGAATTATATCCATTCACAGATAAAGAATGTTAATTTACGAAAACCAATTATGGATATTAAAAAACTCATTATGGATCTTATATAAAAAATAACGCAACAATGCAGTTTAGGAAAACTTTCTGGGGTATAGAGAACTAACAAAAATAGTGAAAAATATAATTCACTTCAACAATGATTATTACTTTACCATAGAAATAGCTCATGGTTCTTCCACTGTACACCTTATTAAACATTGATGGGAAGTACTATTATCTATCACTTTCTCTTCACTTCTGATGTAAACATCATCATAATCATCTTCATCGTCATCATCATCACCATCACACTTGACCTAAGCAGCAATATTTTATCAGGTAGGTAGTATACTTTTTCTTTTCTAAGTAAAGCATATTCAACACAAATCAACTGAGTTCAATAAAATAACACAGTGAACACTTAAATACTTACGATCTCTGAAACCTTAGATGGCAGTGGTGTGTTTGCCATAATATATAGACTACCCTGTCCAGTCAAGGATGCAACCTCCTGCCCATTCCAGGAAAAACTACAGTTGACAGAAGGTCGTTTCAGCTTCTTCATTCTGGTCATTCCACACAGATAATTATAATCAAGCAGCTCATGCTTCTCCAATGAAAAGACTTGGGAGAATACAGATGTCACTTCCTCCTTCACCTGAAGTGGCATAAACTTGAATCAAACACAATAAATTTTTTATTTACCAAACAATATGAAAAAACATTGTTAAGGACATCTGTCATGTAATTATGCAAACAGATTAATAAAACGTGAGCATTTATAAATAATTTTAAACAATTAAGTAAGTGAATAAACACTAAGTTTTTAGCAACTCTTTATAACTGTTGTTGTTGTTGTTGTTGTTCGTCCATCGCAAGCGATGATGACCATGACCAGTTAACTCAAGTACTAGAAGATTGGGTACGGTGAGTTCTGAGGTGGCTAATGAGCCCAATCTTGGCACGGAATGCTCTTGAACACGAAGGGCAAACCAGAGATGCATCTGATGTTGAAGCACTGGCTGCTCTTGATTTCCGCAGCTCACGTTTCTGTTTGGCATCCACAGTCCGCCTTTCTTCTGATGCTTGACAGCCCTTAAAGATGAGATCGCGCCAGGTTGATCGGTTCCCTGCAAGTTTATCCCATGTTGCGGTGTTGATGTTAAAGGACTTCAGTGAGGTCTTTAATGTGTCCTTGAACCGCTTCTTCTGGCCTCCGACTGATCTTTTGCCGTTGGAGAGCTCACCATATAGCAGCTGCTTAGGTATCCGCTCATCTGGCATGCGAGCAATGTGGCCCGCCCATCGGATCTGTGCTCTCATCAGCAAGGTGTAGATGGATGGCTGGTTGGATCGAGAGAGGACATCTGTGTCTGGCACCTTGTCTTGCCACTTGATTCTCAATATCCGACGGAGACAGGTTGTGTGGTAGTGATTCAGCTGTCTCGCATGCCTCTGGTAAACAGTCCAGGATTCACATGCAAAAAGGAGAGTTGGAAATACTATGGCAGAGTAGACCTTCAGTTTCGTTGCAGCGGTGATCCCTCTACGCTCCCAAACGTTTGTGCGCAACCTGCCAAATGCGGAGCTGGCCTTGGCGATCCGGTTGTTCACCTCAGCATCAATAGTCACGGCTCTGGAAAGAGTGCTCCCTAAATATGTGAATTTGTCAACTGTCTGCAGACGCTGTCCATTCACCAGTATGGTAGGCTCAGTGTAGTGTGTACGAGGAGAAGGCTGATGCATGACCTCTGTCTTCTTGGTACTGATGGTTAGACCAAAGTTGTCACAGGCTGCGGAAAATTTATTCATGCTGATCTGCAACTCCGATTCTGAAGACGCGTTGAGGGCGCAGTCATCAGCAAACAGGAAGTCACGAATGATGGTCTCCTTAACCTTGGTGATAGCTTGCAGTCTACGTAGGTTGAATACGCTCCCATCCATTCTATATTTGATACTGATACCATCTACACCATCGTGATAAGCATCAGTTAACATGGCAGTGAAAACCATGCTGAACAATGTTGGAGCCAGTACGCAGCCCTGTTTGACACCATTTGTGACTGGGAAGGGTTCGGAGTATTCACCATCAGCTAGTACTCTGGCCAACATGCCATCGTGAAATTGACGAACCATCAAGATGAATTTCTCTGGACAGCCAAACTTGGACATAATTCTCCACAGGCCTTGACGGGAGACTGTGTCAAAAGCTTTGTCAAATCAACAAAGGTGGTGTACAGATCTTGGTTCTGCTCTTGACACTTTTCCTGGAGTTGTCGTGCTGCGAAGATCATATCAACAGTTCCACGGCCCTTACGAAAACCACACTGTGATTCTGGTAGCAGTCCTTCTTCAAGGTGGTCTATTAGCCGGTTTAGTAACACTCGGGCAAGAACTTTCCCAGCTATTGATAGGAGTGAGATGCCACGATGATTATCACAGGACTGACGATTACCCTTCCTCTTGTATAGGTGAATAATCGAGGCATCTTTCAATTCCTGGGGGATGGATCCTTTGCCCAGAAGGATTGGAAGAGGTCAGTGAGCTTCTGGATAAATGTGGGACCACCAACTTTATATATCTCGGATGGAATAGCATCTGCACCAGGGGCTTTACCACTAGAGAGCTTGTTTATTGCCTCCTGACTTCTGATTCAACAGGTGGAACATCCATGGTCGTGTTGATGTTGACCTGGGGCAACCTGTCTATTGCCTTATCATTGATGGAAGAAGGACGGTTGAGGACAGCTTCAAAATGTTCAGCCCACCTATGCAAGATCTTTTCCTTCTTGGTAATTAGTGAAGTCCCATCTGAGCTCAAGAGAGGGGAATTTCCTGACGATCGAGGTCCATATATGGTGTTGAGAGCTTCATAGAACCGCTTTGTATCATTTCTGTCGGCATAGGCTTGGATTTCATCAGCCTTAGCACTGAGCCAGGAGTCTCTCATCGCCCGCAGCTTACACTGAACTGTTCTCCGTGCACTGGCAAAGGCATTCTTCTTGTAGACTGAAGTTGGATCATCTTGGTAAGCACGATGAAGTCTGTGCTTTTCATCAAGTAGGGCCTGAATCTCCTCATCATTCTCATCAAACCAATCATGCTGATGTCGGGAAGGGTAGCCCAACACTTGAACTGCAGTTGAGTGAACTGTGTCCCTAAAGGATTGCCAGTCTTCTTCGACGTTACCTCCAGGATTGAAGTTGGCAATTTTGGAATCTAGGTCTGTGGATAGAGCTGCACTTGTTTGAAGGTTTTTCAGCTTGGCAACATTTATCCTCTTTTTGGTCATACATCCCTGTGGACGTCTCTTTGGTTTGATGCGTATGTTCATTTTAGAGATGATGAGTCTGTGGTCAGTCCAGCACTCTGCACCACACATGGCCTTGGTAATTCTGACATCCTGTCTGTCTTTCTTCCTGACAATGATGTAGTCGATAAGATGCCAGTGTTTCGACCGGGGGTGCATCCATGATGTTTTGTTCCTGTTGGACAACCGGAATATTGTGTTGGTTAATAGCAGACCATGTGATGAGCATAACTCCAGCAGGCGCAGGCCATTGCTGTTGCACTTGCCTACCCCACTCTTTCCAATGACTCCATCCCAGGCAGAATCACGGCCTACCCTTGCGTTAAAATCCCCAAGTAGGATCAGCTTATCAGTACTGCGCACGGATGAAAGCATAGTATCCAGATCTTCGTAGAATCTGTCTTTCACATCTTCAGGATTTTTCATTGTAGGTGCATAGGCACTGATGAGTGTGGCCCGTTTACCATCATGTAGATGAATCTGCATTGACATGAGACGATCGTTTGTAACTTTAGGGAGATTGGCAAGCTTTTGCACAAGATGGTTCCTGATGGCAAAACTTACCCCAGACTCTCGGCGCTCATCGGCAGAACGGCCACTCCAGAAGAAAGTGTAGCCGCCTACATTTTCAGTCAGCTGCCCCTCATTAGCGAAACGAGTCTCACTCAGTGCTGCAATGTCGATGTTATATCTAGCAAGTTCTCTGGCAACTAAAGCAGTTCTCCTCTCTGGTCTGTCTGTTGAAGGGTTGTCAAGTAATGTACGCACATTCCATGTGCCTAAGGTGATCGGTGTCACCTTAAATTTTTTCTTTCCTTTATTTCGACCGCTGGTGTGGGATTCCCGCCAACCGCGGCTTGCTGGCCAGGATGAAGGTTAAAGCAAGCTTTTTTTAGGACACCTTTTCTAGTCCCTTCCTCATGTGAGGTGAGCAGTGCATCCCTAAAAAAGGGCTGCTCAGACACCCAGGTAGACGCCGAGTTCACTGCTGCTTCAGTCAGTACGAAAGCGACCATTAGACCTGGGCCGCCTGTGTGCAGGTCTGCAACTACAGCTCCCAGTGTATCCACACCTGCTGCTTCGTCGCTCGCCCATCGCCACAGGGCTTCAGGAAGAAAAAAAATCTTAACTTCTAGGTTGAGTGGTGTTGTCAAGACTTTTGCAAGAATTTATTATAGTGAGGAAAAGCTGGCAGACATCAACCTCACTCTTCTCTGAAATCACATGGATCCAGTGGCAAGACAGTGTCGAGACGACTGGTGGTGACCTCAGATGCAGGAGTATTCGGTTACTGCTAGATGTTATGCAGTCCATCATCGGAGCTCCACCCGGAACCAGACAAGGATAGTTTGGGACAGCAAAATACCAAAACGGAACAAGATGGATGGCGGATGAAGGCAGCACAACGGCGGGTCATGGCAGATGGACCCTGGGACCAACTAACCTACCAGAACAGACAGCACCTGGTCTAACCGCACTGTTCTCCAGCAGTTTAAGGAACAAGTCCTGCCGGCACATAACTCACAAGATGCTCTTGAGAGACCAGGTATCTAACCTACAACAGCCACGAATCACCATGTGTTACCTTGGATGTTTTGGCAATGCTGTCAACCTCTCAAAGATGGTTGGATGAGATAACTTCTCAAAGATGGAAAGATGAGATCACTTTGTCTGGGCACGTCGCTGGCAGTACTGTCTACGGCATTACAAGTAGCAAATGTTGATCATTATCATGATGATAACAAATGGCCAGACAGATGCTTCTCCAATGAAAAGACTTGGGAGAATACAGATGTCACTTCCTCCTTCACCTGAAGTGGCATAAACTTGAATCAAACACAATAAATTTTTTATTTACCAAACAATATGAAAAAACATTGTTAAGGACATCTGTCATGTAATTATGCAAACAGATTAATAAAACGTGAGCATTTATAAATAATTTTAAACAATTAAGTAAGTGAATAAACACTAAGTTTTTAGCAACTCTTTATAACTAGGACTTTCTTGACTCACTTGTACAAAGCTATCAACAAACACATTTACTTTGTAGTAAATGTGTATCTTTCCCTACTATCTCCATTATTTAGCCCACCTGAAGAGCATTCCAATTTGACATCAAACAAATCTTTCCAATTAGTCCCCTTTCAGAAAGAGCATCTCATTGTTTTACTTTTGGAATTGACAAGGTCTTTTCATGAGAAAATGGAAGACAAACAATATTCTTGTTACACGTTCTTAACCGACCAACAAACCAGATGTCTTTTTTTTCTTTTGTATGAACTACTTGAAGAATTTGAAGAAGTAAGACTTCTTGTGGTAGTTGGGGTGCATCCCGAAGGCAATGGATACAAATTAACTTCCAGAGTAGATCTGCTAGGCCTCTCCTGAGTAACACATAGATGTTCAGTTCAGTTTGAATTCACAACATCACAATACATTAATCATACATAACTAAAGGAAAATAATACAATTTTACCATCACAAATCACCTTCAATGTAGCAATTGTTAGAATATAATAGTTACGTCATGTAATCACGTGTTCCGTATTTTATAATTTTCCTGTTCTTACTTTATATATGGCGCTTTCTACACGTGCCTGCTTTGTGTTAAGTTGATATTATTAAATAAACCTTCTTTGTATTAACCAAAGCTTCAGATTATTTTATCAGGTTATGGGCCCTGGACGGTCGCATGTTTAAGATGGCGGAGATCACAAAAATAGAGCCCCTCGATGGCAAAAATTACCAGTCGTGGAAATATAACATAAAGCTTGTGTTGATGGAGCGTGGTCTATGGGGATTTGTTGAAGGAACAGAGGTTGCCCCGGATGACACGGCGACAACAACTGTAAGAAATTCATATCGTCTGCGTTCCGACAAAGCATATTCGTTAATCGCGCTCAGCGTGCAGAAAGATCTACAAGTCCATATTTCGTCGACAATAGATCCTCGCGCGGCTTGGGAAATCCTACAAAAACAGTTTGAATGTGTTTCGATAACACAAATCGTTCGACTTAATCGTCGATTCTACGCCGCTACTATGAAAGAAGGCACTGATATAATGACACATCTAACGTACATGACGTCTTTGGCAGAACAATTGCGAGAGTTAAGAGAAGAAATAACGCCACAGAAATTCGCAACAGTAGTACTTGGAAGTTTGCCAGATTCTTACGACAGTTTTATTTCCAGCCTCAACGCTACCAAACCGGATGAACTAAATTGGGACAATGTGAAAGGTTTACTCATCGAAGAATACAAGAAGCGTGAAGAGAAAGAAAGACAGCGCAAATGTGAAAAGTCAGGTGACAGAAATGAAAATGAAGCACTATTTTCTAAAAGAGGTAATTGGTCGTCCCGTGGAAGAAATCGACGTGGTCAAGGTGATCGCAATGTTGGCAAGTTCAAAGAGAATCAGCACCACGAATCTGGATCAAGTCAAGGTCCGACGTGTTTCAAATGTAGAAAAGTTGGCCATGTGATGAAGAATTGCCCCCTCAATCGTAGAAGTCATCACTTAAGCATTGCAGAGACAGATGGAAAGAAACAACATTTTGATAACATTGCTCTTACTTCCTACTCAAGTGCTAGTAGTAAAGACCAAGACACCAACTGGTTCATTGACAGTGGAGCAACAAAACATATGACTTTTCAAGTCGATCAACTCCTCGACTATAGTGAGTATGGGAAGCCATCTAAGATATACCTTGGTGACAATAGAACAATTGATGCATATGGTGAAGGAAAGGTCGAAATTCCCTGTTATGATGGATCTAATGTTATTACTCTTACCCTAAGCAATGTGCTGTATGTGCCTGAAATCTCGAAGAACTTATTATCTGTACCTGCCATGACTAGGCTTGGAGCCGAAGTGTTGTTTGATAAAGGAAGATGCGTTGTTTCGAAAGATGGCAGAAGTATTACCATTGGGACATATCATTGAAGACAAGCTGTATATGATGAATACACATGAATATGCCCAAGTAGCTCGTACTGATATGCCTTCATTGGAAAAATGGCATTGCAGGTATGGTCATATGAACTACTCCTGCTTAAATCAGATGATTAAAGGGAAGCTAGTTGAAGGTTTGAAATGTTCAAGTAATGAATTCAACAAAGAGTGTGAAGCTTGTGCTCAAGGAAAGATGCATCGGCTACCTTTTCCGAAGAAAAGCATCAGCAAGACAAGCCAACCACTTCAATTAATTCACAGTGATCTTTGTGGTCCAATGAATGTTGCATCCATGGGTGGAAGCAAGTATGTACTAACGTTCACTGACGACTACACCAAATTCGTCACAGTATATTTCATTAAGCGAAAGGCGGAAGTAACGTGCAAGTTCAAAGAATACGTGTCCGTGGTTGAGAATGAATTAGGCTATAAAGTGGGATCAATTAGAACTGACAATGGAGGAGAGTACATCTCGGAATCATTTCGTCAAGTTTGTGTGGAGAAAGGAATCAAACACCAGCTTACCAATCCCCACACCCCAGAGCAGAACGGCGTATCTGAGAGACTAAACAGAACACTACTAGAAAGTTCTCGCTCAATGCTCTACCATGCCAAATTACCACTCCATTTTTGGGCCGAAGCAATAAATACTGCTGTTTATTTACATAATCGTAGTGCAACAAGTACCCTGAAGAATGAAACGCCATTTGAAAGATGTTCGGAAAGAAACCAGATGTTTCAAATTTAAAAGTATTCGGATGCGTGTGTTTCGTACATACCCCAGATAGTCTACGAACCAAACTTGAACCCAAAGCTAAGAAAGCAATATTTGTTGGATATCCTCAGAATACTAAGGGATACAAGTTGTATGTATTAGAGGCAGAGCGATTCATCAGAAGCAGAGATGTCCTATTCCATGAAAATAAGTTTCATTCTTTCCAAGACACCAGCTGCTCTAATAACACCCATTTCTTCATCTGCAAAACAAGAGAAGATGAAGAGCCTGAAGCCAATCCAGAAAATCCTGTTACACAAGATCCAGTAGAGAATATACCTTCAGTGGGAGATACCTACGAAGAAAATTTTATGCGTCAGGTAAAAGACATTGGTCCTACAAGACAGAGAAGAGCGCCCGTTAGATTCCGTCCAGATGAATGTTTGCTGACCAATTCGTTGACGTCTGAAAATGATGAACCCCAATCTCTAAAAGAAGCAATGGCAAGTGCTAACAAAGAAAAGTGGAAACAAGCATTGGAAGCAGAATACAATTCTCTATTGACGAATGAAACATGGGAATTGGTGCTGCCACCGAAAGATGGCAATATAGTTGGATCGAGATGGGTGATGAAGATCAAGCGCGACGCCAATGGCAATATCGACTGATATAAGGCAAGACTCGTAGCACAAGGCTACTCCCAAACACATGGTATTGACTATGAAGAAGTCTTCTCACCTGTAGCAAGGTATTCCAGCATCAGGACATTGCTCGCTTTGGCAAATTTGCATGATTTAGAGATACACCAAATGGACGTAAAGACCGCTTTCTTAAACGGAGTAATTGATCATGACATCTACATGACTCAACCCGAAGGCTTTGCTGACGAAGAACACCCCAATTATGTCTGTAAACTCAAGAAAAGTTTGTATGGTTTAAAGCAGTCCGCACGTTGTTGGAACCAAACCCTCGATAGTTTCCTGGTTTCAAACGGATACAGGAAGAGTGGCGCAGACAGCTGCATATACACGAAGACTGAACGAAAGGAACATGGTCACATTAGTTTTGTGATACTGGCAATCTACGTTGATGACATAATCCCAGTTTCTAACGACATCGAAATGCTGAATGCTGAGAAGAAAAGGCTTTGCAAAGGATTCGAAATGGTGGATCAAGGAGAAATTCACTTTGTTCTTGGGATGTCAATAAGAAGGGATCGAACGACAAAGGAAATATTCATAAATCAGGAAAAATATTTGGAAAGTGTCCTGAATCGGTTTGGAATGGAAAATAGCAATCCAGTCCACACACCAATTGAAACTGGGAAGAAATTTCAAAAGAGATGCGATGGTGAGGAACAATCCGATCAGAGTGTTTACCAGCAGATGATTGGTTGTTTGACATACGTTTCCACGGCCACGAGGCCAGATATAGCTGCATCTATCGGAGTTCTGTCACAGTTTATGTCAGATCCCAGCAAAACTCATTTTCAAGGAGTGAAGCGAGTTTTGAGGTACATAAAAGGGACAATAAGTTATGGTTTGAAATTCAGTTGTGATAAAAATGACGAATTACATGGGTACTCGGATGCTGATTACGCAGGTAATTTGGATGATCGTCGATCAACCTCAGGATATGTTTTTAAGTTAGCTAACTCAACGATTAGCTGGTCTAGCAAGAAACAAAGTACCGTCGCCAGATCGACAACAGAGGCTGAATACGTTGCCCTAAGCCAAGCTACCCAAGAGGTAATCTGGTTGCGACGATTGTTGTCTGACTTGGGATCTAAACCAGTGTCGCCCACTACTGTTCACGAAGACAATCAAGGTGCCATCGAAATCGCACGAAATCCAAAGTTCCATAACAGAACTAAACATATCGATGTTGCTTACCATTTTGTTCGCGAAAGAATATTATCTAAAGAAGTAAAGTTTGCTATTGTCCATCAAAGGATATGATAGCCGATATAATGACCAAAGGATTATCTAAAGATCAATTCCAAAAACTCAGAAATTTATTGAACGTTCAATCTTGTTAAAGAACACTGGAACAATATGTAACTATTAAGTGGGAGTGTTAGAATATAATAGTTACGTCATGTAATCACGTGTTCCGTATTTTATAATTTTCCTGTTCTTACTTTATATATGGCGCTTTCTACACGTGCCTGCTTTGTGTTAAGTTGATACTATTAAATAAACCTTCTTTGTATTAACCAAAGCTTCAGATTATTTTATCAGCAATTGCATGGGATGTGTTGATAAAATCAAATATGTTTGTTTATACATTCAAACAGTCTTTTGATGCTACTATTCATGATCAAGTTTAGTGAATTATTACAAGTATAATATTACAATTATTACAATTATTACATCGTTTTCACAGTAAGTGAACACAGAAAAATTTTCAAACCAGAATTGTATGCAGACTAGCTACATGCACATGCCAGTGATTATAATAATAAAAACACCTTAATGAAGACGCTTGTAATTAGTGCTGTCTGTTTGAGCTTGAAAGGTTTCTGGCGCCATTTGATAATAAAGTAAACAGTGTTGCAAGATGGGTGGCCTGCAAACCCGCCCGAACTACCTTTAAAAGTAGCCCACATATAGCCAAATTATATTTTGCAAGAAATAGCCCAAATTTGCATCAAAACAAGTAAAAACTAGCCCAAGTCTGTTGAAAATATTTAATTTAAACCAAACTACACATTGATATCGTATATAGCATCGTTCACGTCTTCTGTACTTTCATACATTTCTGAAGTAAACCTAGATATCATTTGAGGCCAAGGAGTGAAATTGTTGCAGCAAATTTTTTGCATTGCCATATTTGATTTCACGTGCAAGAGATTCTCTAGTAGCGACTGTCCCATTCAATTTCTTAGTTTGGATTTTAGCAAAGCCATCAGAGAAAATGCTCTTTCAACTGCTGCGTTGCTAAAAGGAAGAGCCAAAATAGAAAGTGCAAGGCTTCCCAACTCTTGAAAATCGTGATCCCAGAAGCATCAACATGATTAGTGACGTCAATCCAAAATTGCTCAATCTTCTGGTCGTTGACATCAATCCACTGGATTGAAGCAATGCGACTATATTGTTGGTCAAGTTTACCTAAATCTCCAGAAAATAGTGGAAGAAACGACAGGTCTTGAAGAGATCGTTTCTGTTTGCCTGTAACAACAGTTGGACTTAGATCAGCAATAGACTCAAGCCGCTCCACATTGCATGGCAACCTTTGCTTCATTTGCCTGAGAAACTCAACCAGAAATTGTTGACATCTAGATTTGATTACATCAACCTTTTCAGGAGTTAAATTTGATTCCGCCAATGCCACTTAAAATAAAATACCAAAGTCGACCGCAGAAAGAGGCAAATGATTTCTCTCATCCTCTATGTCGTATGTGAGAGTAGAGCACCATGTTGTAAAGATCACAGGCCTCATAGTATGGAAAAGAAACGCTTTATACAAACTCATAACATCAGTGAAGAGTTGCAACGGGTTAGCAGAATCTGACTGAAACAGCTTTTTTACTAGGTTTAATTCTTTAAGGATAGGCTGCAGAAAAATTAGATATAGTTTATTCTCCACGTCACCATACATTTGAAAAAGTAATTCTGCTGTGTAGTTGCGATCTTCATCTTTGGCAAGCTGAAAGTGTAGTTTCAGTTCGTCAAACTGTTGGAGTATTCGGTGAACACATGAAGAAATAGATAGCCAACGTGTGTCGGAGAGCTTTAAAATCTTCAAAGGTGCTTCCCCCACGTTGATAGCTGAATAGATCTGGCGATACTTTCGTTGCCTAGAAGTGCTATGAGAAAACCAGTTGTACGTTTCTGACACCATGAACTCCACGTTCCGTGGCATTACTTTAAGAGCATGTGAGGAACAAAGATGGATAGAATGTCAAATGCATCTTATATGTATTATGTTAGGGAATAGTTCACGAAATTTTGTGATTACAGAATTGTTCCTTCCACACATTGTGTTGCACCCATCAGTGGCCAAGCCTATACACTACTTGATATCAAGTTCCTTTGCTCTCAAAAATTCAATTATTGCTTGAAAAATGGCCTCTGCCGTTCCTGATTCAATAGACAAAAGTCCTTTTATGGCGGAGACCACCCTCCATAACACTGTAGGCAAAGCTTTGCTGCTTCTTCATTGAAATGAATAACATTTCCCTCGCAGTCAGTTATACAGTTATACTTCATACTACATCAAGTAAGAATTTGTTATGAGAATTGTTGCGCCTACGATAATTCATATCAACTGGACAAGCATGCGCATTGCTAAAACGTGGTCGAACATTAGAAAATTCAACGTCTTGGCCTGCGAAAAAAATCAAAAATACGTAAAATATCTTTGGAAGGCTGGATTATACGAGGTTTTATTGAACTATTTCAAAAATTTTGAAAGAGAAAAACCACAAGCGAGTGCTTTTGACCCACCTGTACTTCGAAGCCTGAATTAATCATGAAATTGACGGCAGACCTCATACTACAGTCGTCACAGTTTACAAATGCTCTCAAAGACAGAGAAATTGATCTACGAGGTAATAAAAATTATGGCTTTATTTCAGATTATTTAGACATAATAATGTACATGTATGCAATCTTGAAACGAAAAAAGCAGGCTTTTTTTTTGTGCTTGAATTTCTGTGGTATTTGGTCTGCGAGGCTAGGTAGCCATCAACTAAATTGATGTGTCCTCATAATTCATTAAGGGTGAATCAAAAGTTGATTTTATTACTATTTCAAATGAAATCTTTTATTGTGCAAACTCATACTCATTTTAACGAAAATGTTATCAATTATCAATCAATTTCTATTTTTCTTATTTTGTATGAAATTTGAAAATTAAGCATTTTCAAACTTTGTATTTTTTCTTGTTTATCATGAAAATTAATGTAATTAATAGTCTATTTAGTGATCGGCACTGTGAAGTTGTTCAAACTGGGGGACAATGCATCTGCCCATCTTAAAGCTACACATTTTTAGAAGGGAAGGTTTCAGTCAGGTGTGTCAACAGTTGTATTCAAGGCAATCTTACAAACAACATTTGAAGATTGCTATTTATTGGACTTAACTATTTGACCGTTTAAGTACAGCAAGCAACTATTTTTATTAATGTTTGAAATTGTATTCATTACATACTACCCTTTATTTCTTTTCATATTTTTCAAAATTTCAAAATTAGTCTTAGGAACAACTGGGGGGGAGGGGGCATGTCCCCCTCAGTTCCTTTCGGTGATGTCACTGAGTGATCGTTGTTTTTAATTTAATGTTACTGACCAGCTATGATATGTCTGTAGTAATTAGGGAAAGATTGATCTTTTCATTAAAAAGTACTGTACATAAGTTGTTGATAAGTTTTTGAAATGGATCATAAAACTAGTTTATCCATTTTGATGTTCTAGGATACAAGATTTCAGTCATTGAAAACCTTGGAGCAACTTTGGTATGTATGTATGTATATCATGAATCTCCAGTCATATTGTGTATTATACTATATATGTATGTGCAATATAGGTTTTTATGAAGAGAAATTTTATCCAATTATTTGATTGTTTTGTAAAATAATATGACTCAAATAATAGTGAATGTTGCTTACAGTTAGTTCATATCTCATTTAATTTGGAACCAATTGTGATTTCTGAAATCAGAAGTGCAACATCGTTAGTTGTACTTGATTTTTAGCTTAAATATGGAAGTGTGATCTCTCCAAAGGGTTGTAAAGAAAATTTTTTAAACAAGTTGAAACTTTGCAAGTTTAATCATTAGAGATTCTTACTCATTTTTGATCAGTTTTGTTCCTATTGAAAGTTCAAAATCCTTTTTGAATTATTTGAATCATATCTATCTCTTTTAACATCTTTTAGATCTAGTTGCAAATTTGTGCACATTTGACAACTTAGTAACAAAATTCAAGTTTTGCTATGTTATAAGAAAAGAAAATGATGTTAGCTTTTTTATGTGGCACCAGTCTTCTTTATTTATCCTTTGAAATCGCTAAAGAACACTGCGTTTGAGGCACTTCATCATCTTTCATTTTGAGAGTATGTGACTAATGCAAGAATTTAATTTAACTTGGCTCACAAAAAGTAATGGTGAATACATACCTAGCAAATTGTTTCATGACTCATAACGGAAGAATGGAGGCTATTTTCACTCTTAGTACACATATGAAAGTCAAAGATGTGAAAATGTACATTGCTTTGACAATACAAATTATTTGACATAATCGGCCGATTACCGAATATCATAAAATGCCTGATTAATCAGCTTTTCCAATTATTCTCTGATTGATCAGTGCATCCCTATAATATTAATCATTGTATTTAAGATCTTTTGATGAATTTAAATTGTTGCCATACGTAGAGCTCTGTAGTCTTTACGCATGTGCTCTGTTGTTCAACTATTTTTGACACATCCATGTTTCCAATACTAACTTGATGAAATCCCACTTAAGGGAAGTCCCACTTTCTTCGTTGCGACAAGTCTAATTTAACTGCCAACGTGATGACTCAAATTTTATAAAGCATGTTAGGAAGAAGCTTTGAAACTGGTATTTTGCAATGGAAATAATTTCAATTGACCAAAATGTTTCTTAAATACAGTAGGAAGTTTTGCATAGTTTAACTGGCTGAAATAATTTATGAGAATTCCCACATGTTTTTCCTAACAATCTGGTACAACTAATGATGTCACATGTCCATTTAAAAAAATTGCCGTTGCATTTTTCAAGGAAGTGCTGTTTTCATATACAAGTTGGATTTACAATTTAGCAGCTTTCTTTTTGCAGTTTGCACAGCAAATGCTATATTTCTTGAACAAAGTAATATAGCTTTAAACTGGTTATATAGGTATGAAAAATGTTGAAAAGTATCAGATGTTTTTTATTAGAATGTTAAAAGTGTCTTAAGCATTTAAATAAACATGAATACGAGAGAACCCAATTTTCTGCTTTCCAATCAAACCTGCCAATTTTTTTTGTTGATTTTGTCATTCATTGTACATAACAGTATTTGGTTTGTCTGGTTTCATATTTGTGTATTTGGAAACATTTTTCTGTTTTATAAGTGGGTAATTTTACCAACCAGAAAACCAAGTTTATGCTTAAGGGGAAAAAATTCTGGTTATGGCTCATTATACTTAGTAGATGTCAGTTTTGTCAAATAGATTTTTCAGTGGGGCTGTATTATTCAAAGCAAGAAAACATTTTCATTTATTTTAATTTGTAATTAATAACTGTGAATGATTTTGAATACCAGTATATATCATTTAATGTATTTGCTGTTTTCTATGGAAGTTCCATCAATAATATTCATTTTCAATTTTACAGGATCAGTTTGATACAATCAACTTTTCGGATAATGACATCAAGAAACTGGAAGGTTTTCCTCTGTTGAAAAGGCTGAAAAGTCTCATAATGAACAACAATCGTGTCTGGTAAGATCTTTCGTTTTGTGCATCAATATTATCATTACTGTTCAATTAATTATGGTGCAGTACATACACATGCTCTTATAGAAATTATACAGGAATTATTTAGTTGACCAAGCTTAGTTCGAGTATAAATTTGCCAAACATTAAATTTCGAAAGAGTCTACTAAATAATAGAGAGCCTTACACTACAAGTCTCTGGCTTGTGAACGGTATAGCTGGGTTAAAAGGTGAAAGGACACTTTACCTCAATTCTTTAATCTCAAACCTCTATTCCTTCACCTATTCTGAATTCACTCAAGCAACCTAAAGCCAGGGGAGAATACTACTCAATCTTATGTAGAAGCCAGACAAGTAATATGACTTACTATATTATGATTGCTTTAGTATAAGAAAAATAGGATTTAGGTGTTTTGCAAATTTATACACACATAAAGCTTGGTCAACTTAATATTTCATTACTCTTCACATTAATTGTCTGTTATTGGTCAATTTTATATATGTACATATGTTTCACTTATTTGCTCTCATTTTAGTTTGTTTGTTTTCACATGTGCAAATGAAAAAAATAACTGTTTTGAATACTGTAATTTTCTTTGCACCTTTTTAAGCAACTGGTGCATGTGTTCGCATCATATTGAATAGTTTATTTTCCTCCTAAGTTTGCCAAATTTCCTTGGTTTAGCAATTTGTTCAGGTAAAAGAACATGTTAAGGAAAATGTTAGAACTGAAACGAACAGCACAGTTCACGATTTTTATTGACTTGTTTATGTAATGCACAATGTTGATGTGGCATTTAAGATTGTGCTCAGTGCTGCAATTGCAGTTAATGATTCTCTTGTGGAAATTCTACGTACAATGTAATATTCAGCAATGTTATGGTAATCATTGCGAATGAGATCTTATTAAGAACTGCGAAAATTTGGATTTTTAAGGGACACAAAATTATGAAAATTAGCATGGCTATTGTTTTACTTCTGTTTCGAAATTCCTTTTGCTTTCGATGACAATATAAAGTTTTTAATTTGATGTGAAGGTAAAATTGCTCTAAGAAATCATTTTTCGCAAATGCAATACTGAGCATGTACATCAAAGTCAACATCTAATACTTTATGTATATATACTTTTTGAATGCAAGTGAAGACAGACAAGTTTGAGGTAAGTTGTATTTTTGTGAAAGTTCATGGTACAACAAGGCGTCACCCAAGAAAGATTGTTATTCTTTTCAGTTTATATGTCTTGTAATTTTAAATATCCTTCTTAACATCCATGTGAACAATATTGCTCTGTTTAGCGTCAGGATTGTGGCTGAATATGTGTTGACGGATTGACTTAGATAGGAATAAATGTGAAATTCAAAGTATTCATCTTTTTTTTTTGTCGTGGAAATAATTGTATTCATGTTTCAATGTTCAATCCATTTTAGTCGAATTGGCGAAGGATTGGCAACTTGTCTACCAAATTTAGAGACATTAGTGCTGACGAATAACAGTATGAATGACTTGGTTAGTAAATTTGATACTGTATACGCTATAGCTATATGCTTGTGGTACCATAGGAAAGGTTGTTTCTTTTGCTTTGATATGTTTTATATGCAGATGAAAATTGTTAAAGCTTTTTAACGATTCATTCTATTGATGTTAATCTGTTAACTGTAAATCTGAAATCATTCTATCCCTAATCACCACTTGAGTTACCTGAAACGTATTGATCTATTTTATGTTAACTGTTTTAGAGTGATTTGGATGCATTGAAAAGCGTCAAAACTTTGAGATATTTAAGGTAATATATATACAAGTTATACGTAGGATGACATGTTGTTGTAATATTGTACGTAGGCGAAATTGTTATTGAAGTACACGTATATGTTATAGTAACATTTTTTAAATTTTTTATAATTTGTTATAGTTTGATGAGAAATCCAATTTTGAATAAACCCAACTACAGATTATACGTCATACACAGCTTACCACAAATAAGAGTTCTCGATTTTCAGAGAATAAAATTAAGGGTAAGTATATTATTCTGTATTTGTTGGTGCAAATGTCTTTTTTACTCGATTGCTTCATTCTTTTGTGTTCTATCAAGACTGTGGAAACTCTAAATAGCTACGTTTTCAACACGAGTTGCTTTTTATAGAAAATTCTCGACACACTTAATTAACGCGACTTCTGATTAATGCAAATTGCTTCTCGGACTTTTTAAATGTAATTAAATTAACTCGAAAGTAATCTCTATAGTTAACAATATACTTGATTTACCGCGAAACAGAAAATTTGAGCACAGCAACAAACCGGTCGAAATAATCAACAGTTTAATGATGAACAATCTGTTTTTTTTTATTAACGATGAACGAAACTTACATGTTCCTACTTAGATTTTAAACGAAGGCAATAATCAACATACGTTGTAGCAATAGTGTGATTAAACTATTATAATAAGGCAATGTGCAAGTTCAGAATCGTCAGAAACGTGAGTTAAATAGAACGCAAAGTAACTATAGGTAGGTTTTTAAGGTTGATGATTGATTCCAGTCTTTTTTCGTTAAATAAGTTCACCTGGCCGTGTTTCCTCGAAACCAATTAGAATGATTTAGGAGTTCTGTTTTTCTGGGATATTTCAAAGGATAAAATAGAACACACAATAATATATAATGTTATTGGTCATCTTCAGAGCAATAAGCTGCAACTAAAAACGCAAACATGCTCAACGAGCGAACGATACAAAGTAAAATCTTTCCTCTTCTTCTCTGTGCGAAGCTATACTCAACGAGTCTCGAGCTTGTGACTGGCATGGCGATGTTAAATGGTGAAAGGATACTTAAATTGCTCTCTTGTTCTCAATCTTCAATGCTTCGTGTTGTCATGTGAATGGTGTGACAAAACTAGGTGATCTTATGTCGAAGAAAGTATAATGCAATGTGAAACTTAACACGTGTGTGTATACATGTCGTCTTGCACTTTAGCGGGGTTGCGTTCACCAAGGATTACTAGCAATGGGCTTTTATCCCATTAAGAAGGAGGACTCGAAGAAGAAGTAAAAAGATTTTACTCTAGTAGGTTGTAGCATGTCAGCGTTTTAGGTTGCAGCTTATAAGATGCAATGATTACTCGAACTATGCTCGTTTGCACATTCTTATATAGATGGAGCTACGTACATGGCTATAAAATTTACTGTTTCAGGATATCACGAAGCATAACATGGTTTTATGTGTCTTTATTTAGGAACGTGAAGCAGCTACCAGAATGTTCAGTGGTAAAAAAGGAGAGAAATTAGTGAATGGTGCCCTGAAGAGTACATCCAACAAGTACGTTTTCATACTCATTTTGTTTTGAATATACGCCTATCCACCAATTTGCCTCGTTCCTACCGGATTGCATCTTATTGGAACGCTGTTGCGGTTTGTGCTTCTGTTAACATTACATAAAATATTGCGCGAAGTTAAGGGATTTTGTCAGTCTGCCATGTAAGAAGTCTATTGTTGACAAGCAAAATGTTCAAGAAACAATAAATTAAACATTTGAGACATTCTCTTTAATACATATCAGCTGTTACATATTCATATTTTTTGTTACGTTTGTCAATGTACATGCGTGGCCGACAACTATGTACGTGTACTACTGAGAAAGTGCCGTGTCAATGTACATGCGCGGCCGACTTCTATGTACGTTTATTACTGAGAAAGTGTCTGAGGCCGTGTCAATGTACATTCGCGGCCGGCAACTACGTACGTGTACTACTGAGAAAGTGTCTGAGGCCATGTCAATTTACATGCGCGACCGACAACTATGTACGTATACTACTGAGTAAGTGTCTGAGGCCGTTACAATGTACATGCGCGGCCGACTTCTATGTACGTATACTACTGAGAAAGTGTCTGAGGCCGTGTCAATGTACATGCGCCGCCGACAACTACGTACGTATACTACTGAGAAAGTGTCTGAGGCCGTGTCAATGTACATGCGCCGCCGACAACTATGTACGTATACTACGGAGAAAGTGTCTGAGGCCGTGTCTGATTGTCTGTCGTTATGCTCAATGATAGTTGGATATAAGAATTATCACGAAGACCTTTTAAGCATTCGTCGCTTTCTGAAAATATCGCTGGCTATTTTGCTAACGATTTCGAGTGAAACTTTCATGATACAAAACTTTATTTGCAACATGTTGTGTGTTAACACCTTGAGTAAATTAAACTGCAAATTTATAATTCAAGTGATAAATGTTGCTATATTTTTGTCAATATTTTGTACCTTGATTGCTTATTTGTGCTTTCTAATTGAAAGTTTACGGCATTTTAGTTCAACTTGTGCTTCCCAAAGACAATAGATATAAGCGCATAATACCAGGGATGGATTTAGAGGAGGGGTGCGTGGGTGATTGCGCACCGCTTACCCTTAGCTACAATGGGGCAGAAGACGTGCTAATTTCCAACGACATATTAATATACCAACCAATTAAGCTACAACAACTGTCAAACTACATATTTCCCAGGGTCTCAAGTGAAACCCACAAAGAATCTGATATTTGAATGATATAACCCACAAAGGAGCCACATATTATAAAAACTAGAGAATCACCCGTACAAAATCATCCTGGATTCACTGCTGCATAATACATGTCATAGTTTGGTAAAATGAAAGCAATTAAATAGTTGCTCGTATTAAGTGTCCATCTGCGTTCGAAGATGAATGAAAAGTTCTTTACAATTGGCACGGAATCGTCGGAGGCATAGTCAATGTTGTTGAGAAGTATTTACTACAAAATAACATGACCAATTCGATCAATTTCTAGTTGGCTTAGCATGCGATAACAATCAGTAATAACAATGCAAGTCACGAGCGTGCAGATTTATAGGTTAAGTGCACGTGTTGTTGACGATATGTATTTATTGTAAAAATTGGTTTTTATTGAAAATGATGTATTTATCGTTATAATTTGTGAGAAATTTTAAGACTTCACTTGTCACGATGTGACAGGCAATCTATAACCGTAGAAGTTCGGTAAATGCAGAAAGGATTTGACACGGGGTTATTTCACAAACAGTTAGCTCAAAAACACGTTGTTAAAATATCGAGGATGTTTTGTTTAAGTAATATTAAATACATATTTTAATTGCCTTAATTAACCTACTTCAATTTGTGGCGAGGAGTTAACAGGCTGCCTCTGTGTACTCAATGCGTGCCTATTTTTAGATTCGTTCCTGGTGAACCTGTTGCTAAGCGATCTGCTCAAACAACTTCTGCAGGGAAAAATGAACAGCGAAGTAATATTGCCGCCATAAAGGTAAGAGGATTCGTTAACTTTGTGAGCCAAAAGTTCTTTACTTTTTACAGTATGCATCCAAATGTATGTTATCCTTGGTGTCTTAGTTTCATGTTCTGTTTTTTTTTCTACGAGTTTTGTTTTGATGTTTGGTGTTATTTACAGTGGTGACTTTTTTCACTGATTTCTGATTTTTTATTGCACGATTTTAGGCTGCCATTGCTAACGCGAAATCACTTGAAGAGGTGAAGAAATTAGAACTTCTCTTAAAAAGTGGCAGTGTGCCTGATCTTCAGTCCATGGAGGTTGATGGTAAATGAACAAATCATGACACTGTGTGTTAATATGACATATGCATGTGGTTGTGAAACCATTAATGGACAAGCCACATAAAGCAGAAGAATAAAAAGAAGGAAAGTGTGCATGAGCACAAGCGGATTTTATTTTTATTGCTGCCACCTGTTTTCTATCACAGCAATTTAACTTTGTATATATTTTTAATACATGTGTGGCTATGCTTTTGTTGTATTGATGACTCGCATATTTTTCTTTTTTCTTGTTGTTTCGGAGCTCATTTAACTTTTAGTAGATACACTAGCCCAATCTCTATACGTTAACCATAAATATCAAACTTTCTAGAAACTACACCTCGCATTTATCGTTACATAAGTATTTTAATTAGTTCACCACGGAAAAGATTCATGGCAATGCCGAGACCCTTCCTGGATAATAAAAAATTATACATTAAATTCCAAAGCATTTTTAGGTCTGTTAGAGGGCATATTGCATACTGTCTGGTTTCTCCATCAAAGCTCTACCCAAAGGGTTCGATTACGCAAGAGAACAATGAACGCCACTTAACTATTGTACACAAGTTTACCAATGCAAGCCGGGCAAGGAAACTATCAATATCTAGTTTTCAGAACCCCGTTTTACAATTCTCTATTGACGTAGCTAGCTTTCAAGACTTATGACTGTACACTCACTGAGCTGAGTGCGACATAATAATTTCGCTTTCTCTATCAATATTATAGTCGTTTCTTCATCAATAGCCAAATTTTTGCTAAAATGTATCAAATCAATCAGTAAGTGGAGTAGAAATGACATCTTCGAATAATTATAAAGTGATTTTTACGACCCACTTGGTGAGCGCGGGAGTTTGAGTGAGCTTTTGTAACATCATGTTTTAGCTTGTCATAATACGTTAGGCCTTAGTCCTGTTATGTAAATTTCAGAATATTAACATTTTTCTGCTCCTTAGAAGTATTGTTTTTGCAGTAAATGATAACAGAAAATTTAGCATAGCAGGTCTAAATAATGCTGATTTCAAAAGTGAAAATTCATTCAGAACTATGAAGAGAAGTAAAAATCAACATATTTGTTGCGATCCCTTATGTTTGTCAATGCAATTCGTTATTTCAGAGCTGTAAACAAATTTCTTATTGCTTGCAACCTTGCAATTGGTCAATAATGAAATTCCACTTCGTACGCATGCGTGCAGCGAGTCAATGAAAACGATTATGATTTCTCATTTTTATCCATTTGGTCCGACCGCGCCCTCGTTGCGGTATAATTATCATCGTTTATAAATTTGTCGTGCTTTGACGTTGTTACAAATTTATGGTTTAAAAACGCAATCAGTATTTTTAAATACAAACGTAACCTCATTACTGTAATGGTACAGAATTATGTTTGGTAAGGCTAAAAAGTATTACGAGCAACGACCATATACATGACTTCCGTTGAAATACCAAGACTGAGGTTGTCTCAGTTATGACAGTAAATTATTCTGTTCATGCACCCTACCAAAAGTCAAGACAAAAGGTATGAGTCAGAATTTTTAGTGGATAGATTTATCTCTTCTTGTATATTGTATATACCATACTCGACTGCATTTATTGAGATTATGTGATATGCGTGAGCGTGCATGAGTTTTTAAGCAATTTGTTAAAATTTAGTTGATATCATTCACATGATTCGAAAATTCTTGTTGATGGAGTAGAAATTTGGCAGATGTATAGGGTGCAGCGATATATATTTATCGTTTGAAATTTGATTTAAGTTTTTATTGTTTGATGTTTAGTATCAGTGACGTGGCAAAATTTCGTATTTTTTTGTTTATCCAAACCTTTATACGGCCATCTAATTATTTTTATTATTCTCCCATATTGGATATAACATGCGAGCGAACTGCTTTAAATCATGAGACGCCACATATTCTGATTAATGTTTAGTATTAGCAAGCCAATCTTGGCAGTTCGGCTCACTGGTTCGGCTGCATTGCATGTACTGCATTAATTAGTTATTTATTAACATATGACAGACAAGAATGACAATGACAAGTACGTATCACGAATGTATTAGTATTTTTTAATTTTCGAAAGAGATACGTTTGACCAGGAAACAATTCTTAAAATTATTACGTTGTTTAACATCAGCCAGTTAACTAAAGCTAAAATTCTAATTGCCAAGAGCCTTTAGTTTTTACTTATTTAGTTGCCTTATTTTGACATCATTTGGAGGAATGTATATTATACATGTGGTAAAATCCTGCCCTCATTATCGCTTCATATTTTGAAGCAGTTCGTGCAACCTTCAAAATGAATAGCGTTTTTCGTACAACAAATTCTTTCATCATTCTTGTAAAAAAAATCAATTATAAAAACTTCTATCCTCTGCTATTCTATTTTTTCCAGATTCCTGCATTTTTTTTAGATTTTTGAAAAAATACTTATAGTTTTACCTGTCTTGTCAAAAAGCCTATTTCCTAAAGTTCAAAATGGGGCGCTTTTACGCGGAGCAGGCGACAAATATTTAGGGGCATACGTGCATAAATAAATAAAAAATTCCATTGAATTTTATTTTCAAAAATCGTTAAAAGTTTCGACCCAAATCATTTGGTGGATCAAATGTATTCAGTTTGCTGTGTTAGCCAGCGTGTGTTACATGTTGCAGTATTTTGCTTAGTAGCTTTAGCTGCTGTGAGCGAGCAATTTGTGAATTATTTTTAAGCATGAAAAAGGTTCTGAAACATGAATAATTGCATTAGGCATTCCAGAATTCAAAGGAAAAAGTACTTGATGAAAATTTATAAAATACTCATACTGTTATTATTTTTTTTGAAAAGATTTAGTTAGTATTTAGCACTGCAGAGCAGAAGGAAGAAGACTGCTAGCATTGTCATTTTTAGTTACGTTTGTTTTATTGCCGGAGTTTTCTGCTTAAATCCTAAGGATATCTTAGTTTTTTATCACTTTTTTGTTCAAAGTGAGCCCATATTACGTGTTTGTTATTCCATTATCGATGTTCTCGCGCTAGATATGTTTTAGTTTGAAGGACAACACTGACTTACGGCCAAACCCAATGAACTCACATCAATCAACAGCAAAAATAGTTCAGCCTTTCTCCTGATAGGATTCCATGTTTTGAAAACTTGACTCAAAATTATGTCATGTCACTCACATTTGTAAAAGCGGTTCTACGATCGTTTCGATGTGTGCTGTTATATTGTAATCTCGTCACAATTGTCACTTTGTGATTGGCTTATCTTATGATCACATTAACATATACTTCATTGTTTAGAATTGCAGCCAGCAGCTAAATTTTTTTCTGTTGTTAAGATTAGTGAAGTATGTTTTTTAACATCAGAAATGGAAAGACATAGGTTTTACGATCGTCAGTAATCTCCACAAAAAAACATATGAATGTAAGGCATGAACAGGTTTAACGGTGTGGGGTCAGTAAAATGAAGCTGTGCAAACGTTTGTTAAATCTACGCAAATCATTTTTTCGGAGAATTTTTTATTTTCTCATCATTCTCCAATTACTATACCAATTTCAACTTCAAAATCTCCTGGTAAAATTGCTATTAGGAAGCTTTTAATACGTATGCGTTCACGATAAATGTGTTGTGCTGCAAAAAGTTAGCTACTATAACATGTTACATGTATAATACATATTTTTATAAAAACAACATCGATCTTCATTCTCTGCAAGATTCTACGTTTGACTGACATACCGTGATGCGGCTGATACCAACAATCCGTTCTTTGTCATATATACCATAAATATAATGGTTTTCTACAGCCAGAAGAAATAATCATGCGCTTAAATAGATCAGTTGCGTATTCATTGTCTTTTATACGATCAGTACGTTTGCATCATGAAAACTCTGAAATACAAAAAAAACCCTCAATGTTTAAAATGTTCCATTCATCAGTAGCTAAATCAACTTTTCTTTGTTGATGACATTGAGGCAAAAGCCATTTTTAGATTACGATATCTTCGCATGCATGGAATTTCATGGACATTGATCTTTGCTAAGGTTATCCTGCATTGGAAGAAATGCTTCTGAAATTTACTGGAGCTAAAAACTTACACATTTGCTTAAAAATTTGGTGTTCATTATATTCTCAAACAATGTTAATACAAACGAAGAAATGAATAGGCCATTGTACTTTGCAGAACAGTTGTTCAGGCATCTTTTATAATTAAAACCCACATAATTCTGCATATATACTCTGTAATAACCAACTTGCATAAAACAACCCAGTAGCAAGCAATCACTGTGCAGTACTCATATTTAATGATGTTAGACCCTTAAAGTTCCACCAAGACATCATTACCAGCATACAATGCAAATAATTCTAAAAAGATACATTGATGCATAAATATGAAAAACAAAAAGTAATTATTCATTTCATTAGGTACGATCATTGGTCGTTTTTGTGGGTAGCTAACTACTATGCTGCGCGACTAACTCATTGAGCTAACAACTATGGTCTAATTACTATGTTATGCTGACAAGTTTCTGTCCGTGTGTCGTTATCTCCAGACATGGTTGATTACAAACAACTATGAAATTTCCGTTCAAGCGTTTGTCGTTTTCTCCGGAAAATATCGCAGGTTTTTTTGGGTTTTCCTATCACTTCATTTATCGGTGCAAAACTCTTGTAAGGGAAGCCAAATTTTGTAAGTTAAAGTGAAATGAAGTGGAATTTTATACTTCATGTTTCCTATATTTTGGTCAAAGTGCTATCTCGACTGCTCATTTGCGCATTTTGACGGAAACTTTGTGGCATTTAAACTTGTACTTTGTAGTAAAACGGTAATGAATGTCGGTAATGAAGTGCATGATACAGGTCAAATTTTGTGCAATGAATTCAATTTATACCTATAATGTATGAAGCCATAAGTTGTTTGCAATAAACGCAGAACCGTTTGGAGGCATAGTCGCAATACAATTTCAAACAATACGTCCCAAAAATACACATGTCTGATTAGAAAAAACAAGAATAAGATGTTTCGCAAATTACTACTCATATTAAGCTTGGTCAACTTATTATTTCATATAGATTTTGAGAGTGGTCTGGCTAGAAAATTGGATCATGGTTGTTTTATATCTCTGAAGTTATGCTAGGTAAGATAAGACAGTTGCAAAGATCATGTCTGTGATAACACACATGCTTTTCAGCTTTTTGGTCACTCTCCCTTTACTTTGCAATCCTCTGATATTAATCCAAATTTCCCGATGTCATTGCAATTTCGAAATATTAACCTTACGGATACTGTCAAGTTCTTACCCCTTGTTAAAACGTTTGCTTTTTTGCGTGTCCTCTTAAACTATTCGTGATCCGGTAATAACATTTGGATTGTACGTGAATTTATTATGATTTTATTGTGGAAAAAATAACAGGTTAAGTATCAGCGAACAACGATATTACAATAAGAAGTTCAAATATCACTTAATCTGACATGTATCATATCTACTAATTATGCATGCAATGCTATGTTGTTTATGTCTTTTCGTTTGATGTTCTTATCTTAACATGTAGCAAGTGACTGCCACTCCAATTTTTTGAATCTATTGTGTCTCGTGTTTTATAGTACCCACATTTATGCAAGCGTACCAATTTTTACTTTTTAAAGGTAATATATTAAAACATTTTCTCGATAAGGCGCTATGTATTGCTTAAAGATATTACCGCCCCTACGTTATAGTTTCATATCGTATAGTTTCATAGGGGCGGGAAAGGTGTTCCCGCCCCTACCGCTATAGTTTCATATCGTGTCGTAGCTACTCACACTACTGTTCACACTACTCCGGATTAATGTCGGCTTTCAGTTTATTTGAGTTATATTTATTTGAAGTCTGCCTATTTTGTCTGACAATATTTATCGCCGTCACGAATGTGTTGGAATATTTTATCTCGTCATTTTTAGCAGAGAAAAAGATTCGCCGAACTGTAATGAAACTTATGCGGTTAATTGCTCACCCGTAACCAAAACTATAAAATTTTTTTACCATTTTCAAACTGCTACGGATAGGCATACCGTTTCTAAATTATTACGGATAGCGTTATAGTTTCATACTTTTTAATACCAGCATCGTGTGAACATAACACCAAATTCAATAATACTGGTATTTTGTCATCGTCATTGATGAAAAATTTAATACCGTATTTGCCGGTGTATAAGTCGACCTTTTTCGATCAAAAATCGACCTAAAAAAATTGACCTCGACTTATACACCGAGTCATGAAATTCAACTTCGTATTCATCGCTTCAAACGTGATGGTAATTACTTTAACTTGCAATATTGTTTCAAGAAAAAATATTAGAGGAAAAAGCTGCCAGTGGCCAGCACTTGAACAAGAACTTGTATGCTGGGCCGAGGAGCAACGAAAAAGTGGGTTCGTCGTCACAAGAAATATGATTCGTCTGCGAGCTTTGGCTTGTGCCAAGCAAAGCAAGATTACCGATTTGTAATTATACATCTTATTATTAATTATTACGTGTAATAAGCTTAAGATAATGAAACAATTGAGCTCCACTTATACAAAGGATATATCATAAAATCGTAGATTTTTGTCGAATTTTAGGGGGTCGACTTATACAACGAGTCGACTTATAAACAGGCAAATACGGTAATACTTGTATTTTGTCATTTTCATTGATGCATCATGAAAAAGTAAATCCTTACGCGCTTTAATGTCTTGCGTGTTGATAAGCTAAAATCTTTTGTTAGTGGTTCTGTCAAGTATATGCACATTTCATGGTGAATTTTCAACAATTGTCCTGCATAACAACGGGGATTTCTTGTCAATTAGGAATCTACGATTTCGAGGATTTCTTGTCGATTAGGAATCTACGATTTTCTGAATTCTTTGAAAAAAAAGATATGCTATGTTCATGGCTTTTTAACGTCGAGTTAAATTTCTAAGACGCTGGAAAACATAAAACGTTTTGTACCCTGTACATTTTCTTTTGTTTATGCAACGTTTATAGTTAGCTTAATATAACATTACTAACAGTGTAACATAATGTTCTTATGTTTTAGGTAAATCGAGGAACATTGTCAAGATATGACCAGCTTGGAACTGAAAGAAAAAGAAAACTTTTCAAGGCTAGTGATGCTAGTGATTGATAAAGGAACTGAAGCTTTAAAGAAGGCGTTTGATAACATTCATCCTCCTTCAAAACTACATTCTGTGTTAAATGCTAATCGATCGGTTCTTTCAAAATTAAAAAAACGCGGCGTAATAAACCAGCACCAATGGGAGTTACTTTTCCCTTCTAATCACACTACACTAAATTCTGAAAATTTTGACATCACATTATTTACTGTTCTCTTCCGTAACATTTGTTGTTTGTCACCTCCAAGGGCAGGATGGAACAGTTCTCCTGACTCTGAAGACAAATCTCTTTCTGCCAATATTATCAGATTAAAACTCATAAGAAATAAATGTTTTGCTCACGTTCCATCCACTCGGTTGGACGAAGTTTCCTTTGAATCATTATGGACTAAAACTTCTGATGTTTTGATTGATTTAAAAATTTCTCAAGAATCCATTGAGAGAATTAAGATGACTTCCTTATCAGCTAATGAAAATGAGTATGTAGAAATTATCACAAAAATGAAGAATGATGAAGAGGAACTTAAAGAAAAGCTCAACGATATGCAATCTTCCATCGATGATTTAACAGTAATGGTCAAAGATGGTTTTTCTCCCTCTTCAAAGATAAGACGTTTACAAAATGATAAAGGTATTTTACAAAAATTAGCTAAGCATAGTTTCCAGAGCAAAATTCAACAAAAGCTAAAGTATTTCTTTCCTGGATCAAGAAAATGGCTTTTAAACAAAATTGTAAAAAAATTGTTAAGTCAAGACAAAGTGCTTTTGATAACTGCTGGTCCTGGTTTTGGGAAAAGTTTATTTTCTGCTAAGATTTGTGATGATTATGCATCAAAGGGTTTACTTGCTGCCTGTCACTTTTGTGATTATTGTAACTCAAATTTGAATGATCCTATGTTGATGCTGCAGTCTCTGGCTAGTCAAATGTGTGACAATATTGATGGTTTTGAAGATAAACTGCTTGATCAACTGGAGCGACCACACAAAGTTAATAAACTAAACGAAGCATTCCAAATTTACCTTCAAAATCCACTTGATGCATTACATATAGAAAAACAAATGCTGATTGTCATCGATGGCTTAGATGAAAGTGAAAATAATGGGAAAAATGAAGTTTGGGATTTAGTTGCGCAAGAGTTTTCAAATCTACCGGCATCTATATATGTATTAGTTACAAGTAGACCAGAAATATCTGCTTCAAATGTTCAAGGTGTTTGCAAAATAAATATAACATCGGATAACGAAGATAACACTTCAGATATTGAGTCTTATTTAAATTTTGAACTTGAAGATTTTTACGAAGATTATGTAATCAAACATTTAGCAACAAGATGCGAAGGTTCATTTTTATTTGCTTTTCATCTTCAAGATCAATTAAAAAAACGAGGTAGGATAGACAAGATGAAACTCAACGAGTTGGACGAGTTTGTTCCACAAAGCTTAGAGAAAGTTTACCTGGAATATTTCACGAGATTCAAAGAAGAAGTAAAAAATGGAATCCAGAATGACATTAATGTTAACAGCATACTACAACTATTTGCTGCTTGCAAAGGAAAATCTCTTCCACTCTCTTTTGTCTCTCGATCTCTTGGCTTGTGTCCTGAGTCGAGTGAATCAAGAAAAATCATTGCGAAAGTCAATGAAGCAGTGTCGTGCCTTCTCTACGTATTTGATGATGAAGTGACCGTCTTTCATAAAACCGTCATTGATTGGCTTCTGGCTAGATGTGGTTATAAGAAACATGAGTATTTCGTTGATATAATTGACGCCAATCAGAGTTTTCGGCTGCTGTGTGATGAAATTTTTCACCAAATCAAACGTCGGGTTCTTTCTGGAGTTGTTTTGAAGCCAACAGTTGAAGAAAGGTACGCCTTAGAGTTTGGCTTAAAACATCTTTTGGAATGTGAAGTTAATGAGTGTCATTGGTATACTGATGCTGCTATTATTTGTGCAACATTGAGCTTTTCACGAAATGTTTCTTATGAACTTATAGACATTTGGAGCATTATTTTAAAGAGATCGAAGGACATTTCTTGCCAATTGCGTGCTCGAATTTCGTGGCATATCACAAAAATGAAATTAGTTTATCCATTGAATGTCCCTCCAACTCTTAAAGCTTATCTATATTTAGAGAGTTGCATGCATTATGAAGAAAAATTCTTTAATGATAAGGAAATGAAAATGGTTTACTCTCTTTTGGAAAAAATGCCGAAATTTGTTTATAATAAGCGAGGCAAAGTATATGATATAATGCTGGATACCTGGAACTCAAAGCACATAAAATCATATTGTTTCTCAAAAGATAAAAGAATAGCTATTGTGCTCCACTTTCGTGGGTTAATCACTGTACTATCTGTCCCGTGTTTATTCGAACTTTGGACACATGACAATAGAAAAAGAGAGAATAATTGTTGCGTGCTCTCACCCGACAACAACATTGTTTTATTTGGTAGGTTGGATATTGCCCTTTGTTTGAACGAACAAAGAGAAGTGCCTTTCTTTCATGGATATGACGAGCATTTCTTGTCATGCGCATTTTCTCCCTCTGGCCAAAGACTTATTACTAGTGATGGTTCATGCTTTGTCAAATTGTGGGACGTACAGCGTCAAATCTTGCTGATGTCTTTATCGGCAACTAGTCTAGTTGATTCATGTGCATTTATTGCAACAGGCGCCGTAATCGTTGCAGATGATCACGATTTTCAGGAAAATGAGTTTTACATTCATAATGATTATGAATTGAGAAGTCATTTTGGTACTGAGCGTTGTTGTCAAAACTCTTTATTTGCTGGATATGATTTCTGTGCATGGAACGCCATTACAGGGCAAAGAATTGACAAGCAAATGTTAGATTGCTGTGATTTGAATAGAATTTACGATACTGATTTACCCAGAATTTGCTACAGTTGTCAACAACTTGGATCAAATGAGCTATACAGCTTAAAGAAGGTCAAAGCAGTATCATGCTTTGATTATCATTATAGCGAAAATTGGCCACTTGAGACATTTTTCTACAATGGTCAGAAGTGTGTATGCGACGTTGAAGGAAATTTGGTGAAATTTAAAGAAAGTACGCATTACGAAGTAGTTACGTCGTTTCCTTTGTTTCAAACTCCTTTCGCTTTTCGAAAAATATCACGATTGAAGAATGACATGTTTTGTGTTGGCAACCATGATGCTCTGTACGTTTTTAAAGTCACTGACTTCTATGAAGAAAAGAAAAATTCCTCCATATCGTTTTCTCCAGACGGTTCTCGTCTTGCAAGCTGTACATCAGACGGTTTTATAAAAATATGGAATGTCTATACCAGTGAAGTTGTACAAAAATTCTTCATCAATTCTGGCTATTTTTATGTTGCCTGCTGGTGGTCCAAACAGTCTTTGTTTGTATTTGATCATGAAAACAGAATTTCACGATTATTGAAATACTCCGTCGATGAGGGTTTAACGGTACAGTTTTGGAAATGTGAACAAGTCTCACTTTCTCATTTGGTTAAATGGCTTGAAAATTTGTCGAAAGTTGTTGATTTTTACAACGGATTATTGATTTTGGAGTGTGATTTTGAGAACACTTCAGTGAAAGGCGCTGTTAATGCAATTCAAGTCAGTGAAACCTTACCCCCAGAAATTCTTGTAACAGATTCAAACAACGTTTCTGTTTCATCTGACGCAAAATACATTTTTATAGACAAAGAGTCGTCTTTAGGGATATGGAAAAAAGATGTCGACAAAAATTTGACACTTATTTATTCGTTTCCCCGCTCACTAGACTCTAGTAGTGAAACAGATAGTGATGACTCACGCTCATACCACTTATTAAATTGTTTTGATAAATGTTTCTTCAACGGCAACTCCATATTCTTCTATTTTAATTGTGAACAACAGGAGGATGATGAACAGTACAACACTATTTGCTTTGTAAAAATGGACTCTCTTGAACAACAGGAAACGAAATGTTGTTTTGAACATAGCATATCACATATGTTTTACTTATCTGAAGAAAGAATTCTTGCAATTGCGTGTACTGATTTTCTTCATTTCTATGACTTGAAATCCGGTAAACTTCGGGGAATGTCTTCACTACCATGCTCTACAGAATATTTGGCTATTGTTAAACTTTGTCCTAAAGAGAAAACCTTAGCTTTTGTAAAAACTAATGGTGACATAGTATTTTGTAAAAAGTATATCTCCTAATTAATAATTGCTAGGAATCGAATGTGCAGTCGACACATTTTTGAGCAAAAGAAATATGGAATGCTGCAATGACATGCTTATTTAATTCAAGAAAAGATTGAAATAATAATTTTTATGCTCTTATAGAAAACAATTTGCATTCCAATGTGTTAATTTAAAATCTTTTTTTTAAAGCTGTTTGAATAAAATTCAACACATGTATTTTTCAAACAAATCGAAAAAATAAAAACGGTTTTTGTTACATGTTAGCTACTGTTCTTTTTTCACAAAAAAAAAACACACTCTAAACTAGTTGATGCTGTTCTAGAGATCAAAAAAGATTTAATTTACGTTCCAAGTAGGTGGATAGTTATGATTAAGTCGACCACTATAATAAATAAATTATTATTTTAAAACAAATATATAGTGACCCATTGACGACATTGCGTTTTTGTATTTCTATGTACTTAATATTACATCTATTTAAAGGAACTTTTTAAATTCTAATTTCATGTTTTTTTATTTATCTTAATTATTTTGACTCTTGGTTCTCTTTGACTGATTGATTGTTTAGATTGATTTGATTGGTTGAGCTCAGATGTGCTTTGCACTGGCTAATGCAAACTCGGCTCTAAATTAATCAGCGCACGCGTTTCATTGTGTTTATTTTATAATGTCCAATGTTTCACAGCTGCGTTTCAAAGAAAACCTATCTGTTGACAACAGGTAAGAATTTTTCGTCAATTTACATTAAATTTTCGATTTTGTTGTATCATTCAACAATAACATTTTCTATGCCAACTCAAGTGTTCTTTTACAAATTGCCATGTTGATGTTTAATTAAACGTTTGATGAACCGTCTTAAATTTCTCTGTTGTTTAGAGGTGCTAGATGAGCCAGGGAAATTATTGACGTTCATCGCTAAGAATAAAGACTACATACTACCTTATGAAGACTTTAGCCTGTTTACACATTGTGCCGCTCTTTGACAACTTGCAAAAACACAAAGTAAATGCGACATGTCTTCGTGATGTTTAAACTTAATACATCAAAAAAGAACTACGTATACTGCTGTACATAGAGTAGATATTCATGCTGTTTTTAGCAACTAGGATAAGAAACTTTACAGTGAGCAGCGTTATCTATATATGGAGCTCAATGGCACCAGATTTGCGAAAGGAGACTGTACTGCATGCTTTGATTACAGAAGGCAAGCTTGGTGAACACATTGAACTTAATTCCATGCTGTTTAATAGTTTAATCAATATTGACGTAAATCACACAACTGATACAAGAAACAAATTTTTATTCAACAAAATATGTAATAGGTGAAAGACAAAAAATGGAGTTAAAAAAGGAACAGCTTACTTCATATATACTATGTTTTTCAAAAAAAACTTGTGCAATACAATAAAATGTTAAGGGGATTTTTAAGCATGATACACTGCTTTCCTATTATACTTTTGAAAGAAGCACTAAGTGATGGTATGAAAGCAATTTCTGGCGAAATATTTGTTGAAAATTAACAACCATCTATTCAAAATAAGAATAACCATGTCAAGTCATTTCCTTAGAGCAAACAGTCCAAAACTAGACATAGGCAAAGTCTATGACAGTGATGTTTCATGTGCAAGAAATAGCATTTAAAGATAAAGCAGCTAAACTATAGTTGTTGGACTTTTAAGCTTTCTTTGAGTGCTGCATTCTGTTTTTATCTGTATCATCAAAGGCCAATTAAGTATTCTGAATTCAAATGTTAACCTAGTTTTTCGAAAAATTTCTATAAGATCTGTTTCCAAAATTGTGTCTATAATGTATGTATTAACAAAAAAGCCCTGTAACTAAAGAGTTAAGAAAAAAAAACATACGTATGTGGGAGAAAGACCGCAGTTTTGCAGTGTTATTAAGTAAGGACCATAACTAGATTTTCTCTTTGACTGCTAACGTATTTCTACCATAAATCAACGTTTACTGCGATTAATAACATTCATTCCATAGCTGATAAAATCTGACAAGTATTATTACAAATTCATTTGTATTTGGCAGTCTAAAGCGCTTTTGTTGTCGTGCCACACTACATTTAAATGGTAAAATTTACTACACCGAATATACATATACACGACCACTAACGTCACAAACCCCTTTGGCCGCGCACAAAATAGCTGACAATTTTAGTGCCACAGTGTCATTTTTGAATGAGATTTTCTATACCAAAGAATCGTTTCTTTCCTTTAAAAAGAGAAGAGAGATTTTGCAGAAAAGAGGTACATGACCCTAAGTCAGTAGAAAACGAAATTGTTTGAAAAATTGCTTTGCAGTGTTTGAAAACATCAAGAGTTCACATTTCTTTAACTTCCGCAACTATGCCGTTGCGATTTGAGCAGATAAGCTGTATTTTCACGAATCTTAGACTTTGCTATCAGTACAATTTTGTGCATAAAAGCGTATTTGTCTACAATCTCATACAAGTTTATTGACATGTGTATTGTGGTTCATGACTTTCATCACTATATTAGCTACTTCTTCCCATACCAATAAATTTGCTTATTTAATCGGACATATGCTCTCAGGATGGAGTGCATGTTCTGTTAGTCACATGTTGTTGAAGAATAATCAACACTAGTCAAGATGGCGTCTAGACCAAAGGGTGCACGTCCATCAGAAGGTTTTTATTGCAACATACATGAAGGTTCAAAGTCAAATATACAAGAATATCAAGAAAATCAAGAACATCAGTAAAGTCACAAACTCCACGATAGATGTACAAAAACGCAAGCCATAAACGAATGCCCTCATATTGTACATAGTTATGCGGTTACGAGTGAACAAGCTCTTCTTTACCGCATAATTCACATTTTGAGTGATGGCGTTTAATGAAATTGATTTTTCGACCAACCGCGCGACAATCGTTTAATCAAAGTCAAGTACGAGCATGAATAGAAAAACCCAATTTGCAATATTTTCTCTTCGTTTATTTTAAATGTTTGATTATAGTTGGGTTTCTAATAACTTAGAAAACAATAATAAATGCGTATATTTTAAATATACTGCAAAGATTGAAAGATATCTAAAACTTTAACCAATATTTCATTAAAATTTTACGATTTTTAGCCCAAATAAATGGAGCCTGGGCACGAAAATTAATTTGTTAGACAAATGTCCTGAATAATTTACTGGTAGGCTTTGCACTCCAATATTTAAACAAAATAATGATTTGTTTTTGCATTTTCATGCAATAAAAAACCTTCCACTCGGCTTATTTCTTATTTCAAGACCTGTTTCCCAAAGTTCAAAATGGGGCGCTTGTACGGGGAGCACGTGACAAATTTTTAGGGTTTTATGTGCCTAAATAAATAAAAAAATTCATTGAATTTTATTTTCAAAAAACGTTAAAAGTTTCGACCCAGATCATTTGGTGGAGTACCTTCGAAAAGTGATACATTGACGCTCTTATGTTTTCTAGCCTATGATAACTGCAAATGTATTCAGTTTGCTGTGTCAGCCAACGTGTGTTACATGTTGCAGTTTTGTCTCCAAGTAGTTTTATTACGCTCTCATGTTTTCTAGCCTATGATAACTGCAAATGTATTCATTTTGCTGTGTCAGCCAACGTGTGTTACATGTTGCAGTTTTGTTGCTAAGTAGCTTTAGCTGCTGTGAGCGAGCAATTTGTGAAATATTTTTAAGCATGAAAAAGGTTCTTAAACATGAATAATTGCATTAGGCATTCCAGAATTCAAAGGAAAAAGTACTTGATGAAAATTTATTAGATACTCACAGTGTTATTATTTTTTCGAAGAGATTTATTTGTTTAAAATGATCCCATATTACTCGTTTGTTATTCCATTATCGACGTTCTTGCGTTCGATTTTTTTTAGTTTGAAAGACAAATCTGGCTTACGGCCAAACCCAATGTGCTCACGTCAATCATCGACAAAAAGAGTTTAGCCTTTCTCACGATAGGATTCAATGTTTTGAAAACCATGTTTTGAAAACTAGACTCGAAATGATGTCATGTTACTCACATTTGTAAAGTGGGTCTACAGTGTTTCTTCAAAGTGCTATCTCGATGGCTCATTTGTGCATTTGACAGAAATTTAGCAACATTTAAACTTCTAGTCTACTTTATAATAAAACGATAATGAATGTCAGGGCATGATATTAGTCAAATTTGTGCAATGAATTCAATTAATTTTATTTATAATGTATGAAGCCAAAGTTGCGACATAAGTTATTAGTAATCAACGCAGAAACGTTTAGAGGCATAGTCGCAATACAACTTCAAACAATACGGCCAAAAAATACATATGTCTGATTAGAAAAAACAAGAATAAGATGTTTCGCAAATTACTACTCATATTAAGCTTGGTCAACTTAATATTTCATATAGATTTTGAGAGTGGTCTGGCTAGAAAATTGGATCATGGTTGTTTTATATCTCTGAAGTTATGCTAGGTAAGATAAGACAGTTGCAAAGATCATGCCTGTGATAACACAAATGCTTTTCAGCTTTTTCGTCAATCTGCCTTTACTATCCTATCTGATATTTACAAAAACTTCAAGCCTTTTGCATTTCTCTCATATTAAACAGAATTGCCCAATAATGTCATTGCAATTTCAAAGTATTAACTATACGGATACTGCCAAGTTCTTACCCCTTGTTAAAACGTTAGGTTTTTTGCGTGTCTAACCTGCAGCAAGTGACTGCCACATCACTTTTTTGAACTTTTTTGTGTCTCGTGTTTTACAGTACCCACATGTACACAAGCGTACCAGTTTTTACTTTTTAAAGGTAATATAGTAAAACATTTTCTCGACAAGGCGCGAGGTATAGCTTAAAGATATTGTGTTCCCGCCTGTATAGTTTCATATCGTGTGGTAGCTACTGTTCACACGATAGCGTCAGAATTTTTCTCCGTTTTAGTGTTTTGTTCACACTACTCCGGATTAATGTCGGCTTTCAGTTTATTTGAGTTATTTTTATTTGAAGTCTGCCTATTTTGTCTGACCATATTTATCGCCGTCACGAATGTGTTCAAATATTTTATCTCGTCATTTTTAGCAGAGAAAAAAGTTTCGCAGAACCGTAATGAAACTTTTGCGGTTAGGTGTTCACCCGTAACCAAAACTGTAAAATTTTGTACCATTTTC